ACTCCAGCACACACAAAACTATTTAAATTTACCCCCTACAATACTTTCTTCTTCAATGTTTTGATCCGCGTTGCCGATCGCGCGTTGACAGGGGTGGATTTTTGTTATTAATTTAAAATTACTAGAGTTTACAGATTCTGAATTTATAAGTTTTCTCACGTAAATAATCAACATATTTTTAATTATGCTACAAGAAATATAGACCTTTACTCAAATAAAAATTGCTCGAAAAATGTACGTTACCATTAGAAGGCAAACAGAAAGTGAACATTATTCTAAAAATCTCTTTCATATTATGTTTAAATATTTTTTTTAGTTTTCTTTGATATTTGTAATTTTTTTAGAAACAAACATATCATGAAATATCGATGGAAGTTTTTTTTCCACAAGGAGATGAAAGTACCAGTATTTTTTATGTTGAATTGATCATGAAATTTATCTTAAAACACATAATTATCAAAAACTACTAAATATTCATTTGGAAAATTAAACAATAAACAGTGATTTTTCTGGAAAGGAAAGAAAATATACAGAAATATTGACCCCTTTACCACCAAAAAATTTTGACAGCCCTTTCAGAAATATCAAACTGTAAAGCACATGTCAAAAGTAACGTACATTTCAAAATTAGGTCCCAATCTGAAACTTGAAAAATTCTTGCACAGATTGCAATGTTGATGTAGAATAAAGTGCATTTTGTCACTTCTGTTATTTTTATTGAAATTAAGAATTAGAAAATAAACATTAAAACGTTTAGAAAATTGTAACGACGTACATTAACAAAGTAGATATTAAGCAAACATTTTGATGAATTTCAGAACAATAAAAATAATTCAAGTCTAAATGAATAATAACAAGTACTTACAATCATTCTGATCGATGATAGATTGAATTCAACTTATTTATAAACCAATTAATGTACTTTTAACGTAACGTAACGTACATTACAAACAGTATCTGTTCTCAATCATTTGAACATATCCAAGATCTTTTCCTTGTCATCAGGCAGCAGTTTCATCATTCTCTTGGATTTCCCGGTGTACATTGGTTCAGTTACTTTACAAATGACATCTTTGATTGGTATCCAAAGGATGTCATCTCTTGCCGGCCACTGGAAAAATTGCTTTTTTTTCTCCATGAAAATAACTTCCACTTCGTCATCGGAATGGTCGATTTGTAGAATTTTTGCGATATACCAGCCACTATCATACTTTGCAGCAATATATTCCCCCTCAATAAGGTTAATCTGGCTTCCATTTGTATTTGATGGTTGTTCTTTTACCTTGTCTGTTTCTTCAGCTAATTGTTCTTCCCCTTCTGGGTTTTTCCTCCGATTGTTGACCCGATTGTTCAAGCTCTGTATTTTCCACCCATGGTCAGCGTTTGGATCCTCACCAAAGAAACATTGTTGACAGTAGCAGCTCACCTCATTCCAAGCTACTATGGAATTTCCTTTCCCGATTACAGAATGGACTTTGAAGGTACCTTGCAGAGGCTTGATATTTCTAGCAGATAGAGTATTTGCAGCTGAACTACATTCGTCAGATGATACAAAGAGAAATTTGATTCCTTTCAAGTTCGATTCCACAGCCCACTTATAAAAATCATCTGCATGTTGGATAACTTTTCTGCCACTCCTTACACCTTCATCTGCCATTCTCTTGGTGGTCCCCGCAAGACCATCACATGGTCCCTTTCCATACCCCGCCTCAAAATAATTCCAACGCGCATTAATGCCAAATATTTCTTTGTGGTTAGCGACGGTGAAAAAAATCTGTTTGTTCCGATATTGGCTTGTTGGCCCATCTGTCCAATAATGAATCACTTCAACATCTTGGTCAATTTCTTTGAGGATGGGAATCAACTTCTCCAGAATCCCGTGCGACAGTTATCGCTGAATGGCTCATTTCATCTGATACAACAACGTAACTTAGATGCTCTAATTTAATATCAGTGTTCATAAAATAAACCACAATCGGATGAAGCGTTACAGACGTCATATTCCAATATGCAGATTGGATTTCTTCATTGGATTTGCAAGCGTAATTTTCAGCAAAATCCATTTGTACAATGAAATGATGCTGCGGGAGTTTTTCCTTTAGACTTTTTATTTCCCGATACTGTCATCCAACTCTGAAAACATGGTTTTCAAAATCTCTTACTTGTACTTCAAAGGTTTCTATGAATGAACTCCTTTCAGCATTCATTTCTACAATTCTTGTAACATTTTTTGTCTTCCCCTTCTCTGTGACTTCAATTCTTTTCCATTGACTGTACTTAACCTGAGCTGGTAGCTTATCTTGGAGTGTGGGCTTATCATTTTGCTTCAAAAATGACTCTGGATTTAATGGTACCTGCATCCCATTACTTTTCAGACATCGAAGCAGTAACGCCATATTCTGATGATTTGTGCACAAACAACAGCTTCTTGAAATCATACTCGTGTTGAGTATGTGTTTAATTTCATTCTGCAAAATGTTGCAAGTGAAAGTTCTATATTAGGATATTCCGATATGAACTTCTGATGCAAGTTGGATAAGTAATCTGTGAGTACTCGCGTTTGCATCTTTGTACCTGATTCAATCTTTTTCACATCTGCTTTACCCGGCTGTGCCCTACTGTTGTTATCTCTTTCAAGAAAAGATATTACTTAATTTTGTACCTCTCTTGAACTCTTCTTCTTGATTTTCTTCCTATATCTATCCATTTCTTTATGGTATTTCCAAGTTTGTTTCTATTCATCTCTGTTTTACTTCCTAACCACTTAAGTCCCTTGTATCGTTTAAGAGTGTTTCCAGATGCAATAGCTTGTAACATTTGCTTCTTCACAGCTGACGACCCAGCTTTCAGATTTGCCTCCTTTATTTCACAAAGCAGAGCATTGCCTAATAAAAGCTTTCTTTTGACTGCCTTTCCTCTGTTTGGGGATATACCTGCCTCTCTCAAATCTCGGTCTGTTTTACTTCGTGGTGTTCTAGGTGACATACCTGCCTGCTGACGTTTTTTGAAGCATTCTAATCTTCTTTTTCATTTCATAAGTTTTCGTCTTCAGATGATTTATTTCTCTGTGAGCTTTTGAAACTGCCCTACTTATCCTCTTTCTAGATGAACTTTTTTTGAGGTGTTGAAATTCATTCTAACAATCAATTGCCCTTCTTCACCTGTACACGTCATATTACTTTCATAACCACTTGTCTCTCCTACATTGTCCTCTTCTGCTTGCAAAACTTCTGCTTTTCTTTTTTCACGATGTTTCTTTACTCGCTCTACATTCTGTTTGTTTCTTCTTTTTCTTTCCTTGCTTGACAACTCTGCTGCTGGAACATAATATTTCATTCTACTTGATCTCTCCTTCCGCAAATAACTTTCACCCTCCTTGACTTTCTTTCTCTCTCGATATGCTTTTTGTATTTCAGCTCGACTCAGCGGCATCGTTCTATAAAATATTACAACAATTAGAACTGCTAAAAGTGTCCTTTTCAACAGTAATATGTTTATTGATCATTGGTGAAACGTACGTTACTAATAGAAAAATAAAATGTATTATAACTTGATTGCAATTAAATACGTGTTCCCAATTCAGATTAGTTTTTCATCGTCAAATCATATCTAAAATTTAAGAATATTGAATATGAATCCTATGAATCATCTTTGCTTTGTCATATAAATAGTCGTATTTCTCTTAATCAAAACACCTCTTTATTCCCATGTTTAAATAATCAAATAATCAGATTTATCTGAAATGTTGTATAATATAAAACAAACGTTAATATCAAAGGGTTATTCAAAAAAAAAATTAGTACGATAATTTTAGAAAAACAAAATATATGATATTTAAAACGTCTTCATATTTTGAAATGTACGTTACAAATTGTATCGTACATTTCCCCGACTGATGTTCCATAACACGCAAACTCCGCATCATTCATCAAGTTCTGGGTTGATGCTTAACCAATCACAAAATATGTATGAATGTTATCACCTGAAATAATGCAATGCAATTTTTATATGGCATCATCAAAGTCTGTGTATAAATAAACAAAATAACTTACCCCTTTCGGCAATTCAAAAAATGAAATTTGCTATTCCCCACAAGTGCACATGCTCTGCCTTCTGCTTCTGGAACCGATACGGAGGCTTGGTAATACCGAAAAAGGTGATTAGTAGTATATATATACGATTGAATATCTTGTTTCGATCAATATCTGAAAATTAATATATTTCAGTCGAAAAAAAAAAACACAGCAATAAAATCTATTGAACAAAATAAGTTGCCTATAATTATGTAAAAACATCTTAATACAATTCAAAGTATGTATAAATAAGAAGTTATTACACTTTATATGTTGATAAGACTATTTATAAATAAAATATAAGACAATATACAAAGTTACATCACAACAAGTGTAGAGCCTTTTACTTCTTTTACTTCTCTAACGCCAGTATCTGACATCATACATGCAAGATGTAACATAATTATTTAGACATTCCACTTACTTATGTTAATATATGCAAGATAATTATGTAGAGATGCAACTTATTTCTGTCGAGATGCAAGGTAATGTGAACTTGCGACTTATTTATGTCAACATAAAAGATACATCATTTTGTATCTTTTTGACAACTTTACCATATGTGCGAAAATAAAATTTCAAATAAATTTGGATTAGGCAATAACCAGTTTATTTAAATTATTTATATACTTCCTGGTTTGAACTGATTGGAGCTCATTTCTTAAACAACACAAAAATGTTACTGTCTAATCTTGTTATGAAGATAAGGTTAGGATATTGCTATACTGTCTGTGGGTTTAATAGGTATCTACATTACTTCGTCGCCCTGCATTCGACACTTTGCGTTTTAAGGACTTTCGGTAGATTACCTTTGATATAAATCTAAGGTGATTCGACGATAAACTTCAAATGTGACAAAAAACTTCAATCATCAATTTGAGTTAGCAGAATTAAGCAGATTTTTATCCAAAAATTAGAAAGACTAGAGATTTTCTTTATCAAAATGGTAAGAATTTCTATTTTTTATATTTTATATTTTTCAGATCTTTGATTTTTTTTTTCTGTCGTTTTCGAGTTAACGTAATATTAAAAAAAAAACAAGCAATAATAAATTGCAAACTGAGATAAATACATGATTGTTTAAAAAAGTAATAATAAAATAAAGAAAAATTAAGAAACAAAATATTGTCTATTGAATTAATTAACTGATGTGAAATCTGATTTGTCAAAAAAAAAATTCGCTTATTTGATATATTTTAAAATATATTTGACATGTGATTTATAATAATTAAAAAATCATTTCAACGGGATTATATCTTTTTTCAGTTATTGTTTCTCTCAGCAACAGCTGCACTGCTTCTGCAAGTCGAACTTGCCCCTATAACGCTGAGTTGTTCGATCTGCGTTTGCACGGGGGATATAATTAACTGTCGTGGCATCGGTCTAACAACAATGCCACACATTCCAAGTAGTTTTGGGTCCTTCCATCGGTTAGATCTCAGCAACAATTCTATAGGAACACTCCACAGCCATGTTTTTCGTGGCCTAAATCAGCTGCGTGATCTGGATGTAAGCGATAATCAACTGACGAACATTGACCGTCATGCTTTTGCTGATATTTCCAATATTACTCGACTTAGTATTGCTAGTAACCAACTAACATCTCTTCCAGACGCTTTGAATGATCTCAGTGCCCTGGAGGCTTTAGACGTTACCGATAACCCTATACCTCCCGATTCCCACGATGGATTTAAAAATGATATCATGCGACATCTTGGTAGTAAGCTCAAAGAATTTCATTTCGGACATGCCATTATAACAACATGGCCTCAGTCTACCAATCATCTTCAAGCACTTGAAATCTTGGATTTAAACGGGGGCAACATTGGCTACATCCCGCCTTTTTTCACGGACGGTTTCCAAAGTCGTCTTCGTAGTCTTACCATTCGGAACACAAATTTACCAACCACTCCAGTACTTACAGGGTTGCGAAGTCTCAAAGAGCTTCACCTTGATAATAATCAATTTCATGACTACGGAGTACTGGAAAATTCCTTCAGAGGTCTTGACGCCTTAGAGACATTGAGTTTAAACAGCGACAAACTTACCAAATTTCCTCAGATTCTCCACCACCTTCCAAATCTTGTAAGCGTTTCCTTGGACGGAAATAGTTTCTATTACATCAGCGACAATGCCATTACTCTGATCCACGGAACAAACATTACAGAGTTAAGTCTCCGAGACTGCAATTTAGACCGCGTTCCTGGCGCCCTCACCGGAAACACTCTTTACCAGCTCACAAAAATAGATTTATCTAATAACAACATTAACAGCATTGAACGGTATGACTTAGATGGCCTTCATAACATCCGGAACCTATCAATATCCAACAATCCTTTGCAATACGTCTCGTCCCATGCGCTGAATTTGACTTCTCTCCAATTCCTTGACTTGAGCAATACCAAGTTGACAACCGTCCCTAGGGCAATAGAGAACATTCCGAATCTGAGAGCCCTTGACCTCGGCGACAATGAAATCGACTGTACTTGTGATCTCATCTGGTTCCAAAAACTGGTCAACCCTCAACACGCAACACTGGATCTAAATGGAAGTTGTGAGACAATAGATCGTACTGTTCTACAGTATCTTGCTCAATTCATTCCTAAGTGCCCGGATTATTACAGATCGCTTTCAAATCCAACAAAATAAAACTAAGACTTTAGAATATTTTGATTTTCTCTGTCAGCAATCTCTTACAATAATTTATGACAACGTTGATAAGTTGACTCATTTTCAAAAACCTTTATGTACCAAATTGCTTAAAAGAGAAATGTTTTGTATACTTTTACACAATTACTTTCACATGTAATCAAAAGAAATCGAAATATCTTTATCAATAAAATAAATTCAATTTTACACAATATACAGTTTATTCTTAAGGGTGTTGCAAGCATACAACGCTTATCAATAAACCATAGATAATCTACATCTTTCTTAGATGCATCATCCTTGCAAATATAATCAAGATGGGGCTTATAGTTACTTTAGAATGAACCTGATCCGAAAACTTCAACCTATTCACTCATTCGAAAAATTTAGGTCAGATCCAGCATCCGAAGCAAGCCTGGTAGTGTGTATGCTTAGATGTATCATTCATGCAAGTTTTGTCAACAAAGGGCTTGTAGTATTTTGGGAATGAGACCTGCACCCAAATGATTAACATGTACCAAAAACTTTAACTAGCTCCAAAAATACTAATGTTGTCATTCCTTAGCTGAAAATGAGGCATTTGAAACCTGGTTCAGTAAAACACACTTAGACCATACTCCACGCATCTCTAACTAATAAAAGTCATAGAGGTAGTTAAAAAGAAAACTGCACAGAAAACTTTAACTTGTGACTCTGACACCGAAGGTATCACATAAGCTCCTTCCAACTTCGTTGAAGAAAGCTAATAATTCAATATGAGATGTGTGTCAATTTACCTTTTTAAGTTGTTATATACATATGTTTTAGAAAAGACGACAAATGTATATTTTTTTTTTTAAAGCTATACTTGTTTTCCTATGACGAGACATTTTTTCCATTGCCATTCCTTAAAATAATTGACGAAACGAACAGAAGAAAATTGAAAAGAAAGTGACGCTTTAATTTTTAAGTTTTTTAGCAATTATTAAAAAGTGTTCTTTTATTTTCGGCTCAAACAGAAATGTTCTTTGTTGCATACAAACATTAGATTTTATGGTAAAACTCATTTTACTTTGTTTTGCAATATTTTTACAAAAATACAAAGGAGAAAACAGCCAAAAATGTGTATTTCAATTATTTATCGTTTAAGACTATTTAAGGAAAATCATTGCATAGTTAGTAGAGTATGCCAGGGAATCAACGATACTTGGTAAGTGGAAACGTAGAATAACTTGCATAATGGGCGAATCCAGGCATACATACTCTTCCTATATACATGTATAAAATAGAGCTCAAGTCATTTAACGAACTTAATGTGTTATTAACAAATTAGAATTTTAAGGTATTTCCGTCCACCTGATTATCACAAGTTTTAGCAAAAACTGTTATAAATGTGAGTTTATACCCAAAAGGAAAATATCTTTTGAAGATTGATTTTCGATTAGACTAAGGGAAAAAATATAATAAAATTAAGAAAGCGAATTAAAAAAATAAAAATGTTTGATTTTTTTCTTTTTTATTCAATTCAAAATCAAATCAAAATTTAAAAAAAATGCCAAGGACAATATAAAACTCCTTCTCCGGTTTCTTTATTCCGGCATTTATTCTGAACTTATAAAATGGTTTCCCAAATAATCACATTTGAAACATACATGTACATGTATCTCTAAAGAAGCATTTTTTAATAATATTATACTTTTATGTAAATTACTTGAATCTGATTCGTCGAGAAACATTTGATAAAAAACACTACTACCCGCTGAATAATGAAGCCACGCCCTCCTGCGTAGCAACAGTCAACATTGCTTGACGACGGGTGGTATTACAAAAAATAGTGACTGCGCGGAATTTATGCGCGCACAGTTCACTGTAATATGTATTTGTATAAAACATTCAGTATAATATAACAAATATTGCATGTAGTTGAGTGTAACACTGAAAATTTTCACCCCTCGAAAACTATTGTCAACCTCGACTGCGCCTCGGTTGACAATGGTTTTCTTGGGGTGAAAATTTTCAATGTTGCACTCAACTACATGCAATATTTATATATTACTTTCAGCATCTGAGTTGTGTGTTTTAAGAAGTTTATATATTTTTAATATAATATTAAAAATACTGTCTGTTCAGTGTTCACTAAAAATGTGCGACTTTTTATGTTAACAGAATAAGTCAATCTAAATATTAATTTTTGTGAAAAGTCTCGTTTAAAGTCATCATTTCGTAAGTTCTATGGTCGATACAATGACCTTGTCAGCAAATACAGTTTATCATTGAGTCAAATGCTGTTTTTCATACCAATTGTTAGTCCATTATTTATACACTGAATTGACGACGAATTTTTCCGTTATTCCCTGATCATGACAAGGAGCACACGGCGGGTGTGACCGGTCAGCAGGGGATGCTCACTTCTCCATGGCACCTAATCCCACCTTTGATGTTTCGGAGGTCCATTTTTGCTCTGCTCTTATTTTGTATTGTTTTATGGACTTTGAGATCGAATACTGTTCGTTATCTCCATATCCTTCATTCTTTTCAAGTAACTTTTATCATTTTTAAGTTAGTTTTCTTAGTGTGGAGTATTAATTTATTCGACATTCAATCCACGACGCCGTTTGATTATTCACAGGTAAATAAAACGATACTGTTTACATTCCTCAGAATGCCGCATGACTAATTTTTTTATACCTTAATCGGAAATCTTATCCCTTCATGCACCTTCTTCTACTCTGCCGTGATTTTGTTAGCTAGTTATCTAACTGAATTGTTGTAAGGCGAATACGTTTAAGACCATTACATCCTCCGCTATTCAAGCTAGTCGACACACATATAAAATACAATGGACATGTACTTATTTAAAGGGTACTTTGTAGTAGTAAAATATATTTAAGTTAAACATATACATAAATGTATAGAGGTTTGGACGGAACAGTTGATATTATTCCCCTAAAAACGGGGAAGTGTCATATTCTATGTATAAAAGCAGAAGACGTCAAAAGGTCGGAATTTTTAATGAAATCTGTCGGTGGGATGTTTTCTCTTTTCACTGAATACACAAAACCGGTTCAGAGTGATTTAGTGGTTATAGGTGTCGTCAAACTACCACGCTTGATAAATTTGTAATGTCATTAGAAGATGCTCAATTCAGGTTCCGAATCATGGCTTGATCTGATCATTCGGGATCACTCAGCTGTGGCCGCCCAACTCTGCTGTAAATTTGGACTGTGTTATATGAAGTCGTCGCTTTTGCATAATGCGGATAAGTGTTGTATTAATTTTGTCTTGGTGTGAATCAAACTGTCACCAAGTACGTGATTGATTTAGTTAGAATTCATGTGCGATATTTTTTGGTTTTGTCTTGACTTTACTTCTACTTTTCATTCCTTATATCATAAAGGGGAAATATTGTATATGATGTGTGATTCATGAGGAGTAATATTCAGAAAGATTGGGTGTTTCTTTTTGGATCTTAATAGAATACATCATAAAACAAATGCTTTGAAAATACACCCCTTCTTGTGTCAGCTGGCAACCCCGAGGCTTTTCTAATGTCAGGATTTCTTGTGAACGGCTACCAATCTGGGCTTGTACCAAGAAGCAACGCAGAATGGGTCAACATACAAAAGAACACCTTTACTAATTGGGTCAACGAGCAACTACGCATGCGCGGACTGTCCATCCATGACCTTAGGACTGACCTTGCAGATGGGGTCAGTTTGGTAGCACTTCTGGAGGTCTTACAGCGCAGACGTATAACTGGTGTTGTCGAGCGCCCGAGCAATCCACATGAAGCACTTCAGAATCTGAATGTAGCTTTAGAAGCAATCGGGGAAGATAATGTTCGAATTGTAAATATCGGTAGGTAGTGTCACCTAGATATTACTAGAGTGTACTTATTAAGTCAAGGACAAATTGGTTCACAATCAAGTATTTACACTGAAGTCTGTCTAATATAAAATGCAGAGGAAACTTAAGATTATGTCTATCAGTGGAAAGAATATGCAATATAGTAAAATAATGACTAGCATGAATGTCCGTATTCACGGTTATTTGATTATCTCATCACAGTACGTGGGTTTGATATTTTTCAATCGGAATTCATGTGACTGTATGCATATGTAAAAGTAGTCAACACACTCACGTCGAATACGGCTCATTGTAAAACATGGATATTGATAGTGACACATAATGGTTTTCTAAAGATCTTGGGGAGGATACTGCATGATATGTTATTAAGTCGAAGAACTGCATTTTTAGTGTATTTAATATATGTATTCCGTGGGTGTAGTATTTTGCTATTATCAAGGTCAATGCTTTTTTACAGTTCACTTTAATGAAGACGAATAAATGCAGGAGATACGCTCGACATCTCTAGTCATTTAAATAAAATTGACAAATTATGATATACTTGAACATGAATTAGTCCATCAACTTGCAATCGTAGGTAATCCATATAATTCATATTATGTAACCTTTTTAATGAATTCTTTTGATATTCATTTTGGTTAGCCTTCCGAAGCTACATTATGTGTATAAAAAGAAAAAAAACGTATGTTTTGTCAGATCAAATGTTCACATCTTTCGTGTTTGTGGGCGTCTTTATCTGAATAAAAGTGTAGGTACATTATTACGACTAGGGTCGACTACTCGACTAGACCACTGTATTTATTTGGTCCTTGTCTTGAGTAGTCGTTCTGGTCATTAAATAGGAAAGCTCTTTTCAATGAACCGATAAACCATCAACAATGTATTGGTTCCCACTAAGTATTGCCTTTACATTGCTTTAATGGGGCATTAAATGTGAAGTCCGACTTTTAAAGTGGACCTTCCTATTCTCTACCTTGTAATTATACTGTTGCTAATACCGTTATGCTGGACAAGAGAATGTTTTTTATTGTCCGTTTGACCAGACGGGACACTTTGTTCCGCATTTCGTTTTACAGAAAAGTCCAACCGCTATTGAATATTTAAAATGTTTCAAATAATTTATTATTACGTCGAAGTTGCGCTAAAGCAAGGTTAAAGAAGGAGAAAGGTTCGTACATGTAATACATGTTTCCTGTCAGATTTCTGGCTAAATCTCTTTTTTAATCAAAGAATGATTGATATCATAGCAATATCTTAACTGTAACTTAAAATAAATGCATGAAAGTTGGAACAATGAACAGGAGTAAAGTTCTCAAAGAGGTATGTAATTTCGTGAATATATAGATTGCCGTATAGTGTATGTATATTTACCACAAACAAAAAAATTTCGATTTGAAATAACATAAATAATAAATATATAGATTAGGTTTTCCCGATATATTTTGTGTACAAAATTTTTGTATACAAAATTATAAAACTTGGTAAACATTATTCAGGTTGTCAATTCCTATGAGAAATAATTATTTCTGAAAAAAAGTTTGTTTGTGGATACCCTGTCCATTTCGCAGCAGGCCTTTAATTAGGTCCAGTTATGCCATAACAGGACCATATCAATACTATAATCGCCTTTGACAGATCCAAACGATTTTATTAAGTGGAACAAGTTTTCTACAAAATGATGTTTATTCCACCTCACCTGTGCTTTGTATGATTTTTATGCTCAAGCAGTCGACATTTCTAATGTTTAGGAACCATTTCATTTTACGTGCACATTTTTTATGCTAGGAATTAAGCTTTCTTAACTGAGTGTTTCCTAAGACCACGGAGTTTCACAGGACATAAAATGTGTGTAGTGATACATATATTCACGTAGGTGAACCCAGAGCAACAAAAAAATTCAATATTGCATCTGGAAAGATTAAAACCTGAGTGATAAAGTGGTATAAATGTCAATTAATAAAACAGGAATCATGTCTATGGATATAAATCACATTCTACAGTTTTATTACATAGTGAGGCCAACTCCAAATTTTACCAGTGGTTTGAAATAATTTTTGGAACTCTTCAAGAATTATTGCATTCCTTTTAGGTTGTACAGATATCACAGAAGGCAACATTAAACTGGTTCTTGCCCTCATTTGGCAGCTGATCCTCCGTTATCAGGTGGGACTGTCTAATATCCAACACAAGAACTGGATGTTGGCATGGTTACAAGCTGTAATTCCGGAATGTAACATCACTAACTTTACTACAGACTGGAATGACGGCGTAGCCCTACAGTAAGTCCGGAAATTGTCTTGATTTGGCTTATATTAAAAGTGTTATATTTTGATACCTTATTTCTCATAAAATTTCCCATTTTTTAATTTTTAACTTAAAATGGGGTTTAGTTACTACTCTCGGGTATTGCACAGGTCCTACCCTGTCTGACTGGCAGTTTATATGTTCTGTAAATGTGTGACATAACAGATATTCTAACTTGAACCGTGAGATTTATTTTTCATGAACAGAGTTCTTGTTATATCGTACACTGCTGAAAGATTTGCATAAGTTCAATAAAGATATTTTTATTATACAATCTCAAAAGGACATTGTTGTCAAAAATTCAATAAAGTGTCCTATGTCAAGCTCCTGAACTAGGGCTTTATTTCTTATTTTTAACAGATATTCGCCCATGGCAGTAGAATTAATTGTCTTTCGGCAAGATTTAATGGCTTTATAGCCTTGAGAAATGCACAAAAAGTTTTAGTACACATGCAGCAAAACAGGTTTAGAATTTGAAGAGAATTAATTGTAAACCTGAATAACGAGTATACATGATGCATTGGTTATGGTTTTGTAGTTGACTTTAACTGTGTGTGTTTTTATATAAGGTAATTCTGATTAAATTTCAAATATAAACTTCAAATACAAGAGCAAAAAAGGTTTATGTTAAAAACAAAAACTCATTATAATTCATTTCAAAACATTTGCTTTAACAAGCTAATTCAGATAAATTGTGTCTCCCGCTGAAGGCAAAAACTAGGGTTTGCTCAGGTTGGATGCTCAGATCCTGGGAAAGCAGGAGGGGGTCCCGGATTTACAGAATTATCAAATTTTGTACTGAAGCAAACAAAAAATGTCAATATGGATATTAAGATTTGACTGCTTATTCTTTAAAAGATTTTTTTAATATAAAATATTCAATCACACAATAATAGTTTGTAAACGACATGAAACATAACTTCTTTTCAGATGCTAAATACTATCATGTAGTAATTGAGAAAAAATGGCTCAATCTGGATGATAATAATTCAAAGTTAAATTTAAAAAATCCAAACAATAGTTCACATACATATGTTACATCACGAGAAACATTGTCAAAATTTTACAAAGACCAAGTGTGTCTTGTGTACCCTCTACTAAACCTTTTGACTTCAAAATCAATAGGCTTCTTTTTTAGGCAATAAAATCAAAACAATTTGGCAAAAGTTCAAAGGTTTCCGAGTTAGTTGTGTGTGTGTATAGCCTAGTGTATGATGAACTCAAAGTTTAATGCAGATATCGTGCGGAACGAAATTGTTAAAATATCCCCACCCATATTCAAACTATGTGTGTAGTTTATTGTGATGTATAACCTAGTGTGTGTACATTTTGTGTTTTGTTTTAACTTTAAAATTTTGATCTGTACATATATATTTTGTTGTAACTTTACAACACACTCCCTATCACTCTCCCTATGTTTTTCACCTTCCCCCCTCTCTCCAGTCTGTATCTCCTCTCCCCACTCTCTCTCTCTCACTCACCACGCTCATTCTCCCCACTCCACTCCCCTCTCTCTCTCATTCTTCCCACTCTCTCTCTCGCACTCCACTTTCACCTCCACTCTCTCATTTTTCCCACTCTCTCTCCTCTCCACTATTTCTCCCCACTTTTTCTCCTCCCACTCTCCTCGAGAGCGGAGTTCTCCCCACTCCAACCAGCAGTTGGGTATCGAAGAGGCATATGAAAAGGGCAGGTCAAACGTAAGGGAATTGCTTCCCTTTCTTTTTTTCCCTAGCCTATGTCTCCCTCTCCCAGCTTATTATCTCACACACCATTCTCTCACTCTTTCTTACCCTCTCTTTCTTTTTTTTCAATTTATTTTTCTTGTTTACAACATTTCGCCACGTCTTTGTCGTAGAAAATTTATATACGGAAACATTATTAAAAAGTAATTGTGTTTTTAGTCTGACATTACTATTATCGCCAAAATTTATGGCATTGGTTAGTTAGATTCAAACTAAATCACAACCAATAATTTCTAATTATGATTTGGAACATTCTTATACAATTAATTTTCCAAAGAAACATATTTGTTTATTTATAATCAGGAAATAAACCATAGAAAGTCCTTTGCAACGCATAGAAAACGTTTACGCTAAGTATAAAAGTGCCAAGTGCTACCATTCTTAAATATGATATGTCAGATTTTCAGTTTAAAATTGTGAATATAAAACTAATATTAAAAGACTTAATCGTATATGTTGCAAATTTTATTTCACTGTACATTTTATTTTAAATTTATTCTAATTCAGTAAATATTTTATCATTAGTGTACATGTTTCTGGTCATAAAGGATTTGATATGTGTATGACTAGCATTTGGTTTACTCTATTGACGATTTGCTGATCACTAAATCGCCTCAAGTGTAACACTGCCGCCTTTGCAGCCAATTTGTTGGTTATTTGACCAATCAATCATAGAGTTTTTTTAATTCCAAGTCATTGTGTTAAGTTTTGAAGTTATGGAGAAGGCGGGGGTCAACATATTTTTGTTTTATTTTTTAAACTTGACATGGCGATGGATTAAGTATGTTTTACATGTTTACATCACGTTACATTGTTAAAATTTTACAAAACACTAAGTGTGTCTGGTTTAGTCTCTACCAAACATCTTGACATCAAAATCAATAGGCGTCTTTTTTTTTAGACCATAGGGAGTTGTCATGTAGAATTTAATCGCAAAAGTTCTCGAGATATCGCTTGGAAATAAAGTGAATTTACGACCTTGACCTTTTTACACACATAAAATGTATGAATTTACGATCTTGACCTTTGACCTTTTGAATTCAAATTTAATAGGGATCTTCTTTAAGTCATAGGGAATTATATATAAAATATCATCGCAAAAGCTTAAAGTTTAATAAACTTTTATCATGCAAAAACAAAACTGTTAAAACAGGAAGATTTTTTTAATTATTGACTTTGACGTTATGCACATACAGAACTACAAAAGGGCGGACAGATCGAAATTAATATGCCCACTTGCAGTAGGGGACAAAAAGCTAGGAACAAGTTGTCTATTGGAAACAACACAAAGCTTTTTTACTCATGATCACTCGAGGTCTCCTAGAATGTACAAAGAATAGATAGAAATTGTGAATATAATAACTTTGTATAATGTTGACTCCCCTAGAATGCCATTATTAGATAATAAATTTTAAATATATGTTGTAACGATGACATTTAGCATATGACGTCATCTTTTTGTGACAACAATGAAAACCTGTTTCCATAATAGTAGCTTGATTTTTCGGAAGGAATTATCACATGGTAGACTCTACAGACACTTTTGAAGTCGATTTCACAGTCAACGTTTCTTTGACTTAGACCTAACGTTCCCATTCAGATTCTACGGGCTAAAACACATAATAATAATTAATGTATTATGTTCTTACTCTATGTAGCAGTCAAAACATTATTTACTATGGAACGCCGGGACTGTCTTATATGAAGATTAAATATTATATGCAGTGCTTCCTTTATTATATGCGGTACTATTTTTATTATATGAAGTAGTTTTTACTTTATATTGTGTACAACCTCCATTATATACAGTGCTTCTCTCATTATATGATGTAGATATGTCATTATATTATGTACATCTATCATTATATGAAGTGCTTTTAACATTATATGCGGTAGTTTTAACATTATATGCGGTAGTTCTAACATTTTATACAGTAAACACAACAATATATTATGTACTTCTCACATTATGTACAGTACATTCATCATTATGTGTAGTATTTCTGTTATTATGATTATGCTGATCATTAAATATTATGTCCGGTCCAGTTAGCATTCCGTGCGGTAGATTTTGCAGTTCTGATGTAGACACAGTATTATATGCGGTGCTTTCTTCTTTATGATGATGACAAGTTGAACCCCCTCTGTTATATTTAGAAATTTTACTTTTTGGATAACATTCTTCATGGTTTTAGGTTATATTTTTTTACTTATTTAGTTTGACAAAAACCAAATGTGGCGCAAGTAAACAAAAATAATAAATTAATTGATATAGTCACATGGATTTTCTTATATTAATTAAATGCAACACGTATGAAGTTAACAAATATTTCTTGTATATTTAACATCTGCTGAATTAAGAATTTCATAAGTTATATAATATATGTACAAAATTTACTTTTTAGTTCAGGGGCGGGTCCATTATTTTTTTAGGGGGAGGGGGGTCACCCCAGTCCAAAAAAATAAAATCCACCCCCCCCCCCAAAAAAAAACGTACAAATTCAATCTCCTAAATTTCAAATACCTGTTACATGGGGGGGGGGGGGGGGGTCAATGACTTCTAGTTTTTAAAACCTTTGACTTTTCATACCAATTTAACACAAACCTGTTTCCATTTAGGGTGGTCCAAGGTTACCTTTTTTTGCTTTAGTATTTGCAAAGGAATTATGACCCCACCCCCTTTACACCTGCGCATGATAAGTTGTTTATAAAGAGGGCACAAACAAATAAAAATTATGTTCATCTTCAACAACAGTTGATACAATATCTTTCATCTCTCGGATAACATAATCTGCCAACCTCTAACTTTATTTTGTGGACACTAAATTTCAATCCAGTTAAAGAGGAACAGAGGTTTTTGGAATTGGTAAAAATTAAGTATGGTTGAATTTCAAGCTTGTTAAGATTTCGTTGACTTATTAAAGATTTACATTAATTAAAGGAATTAATGTATACTTATAGTTTAATTACAATGAGAGAGAGAGAGTGATGCGCTTATCATTGAAATATATTCACCATTTCATTGTATTAATTGTTTTGGCATATAACAAATGTATAATATTCACTGTCATTAACTGCACTATATAAATGATATGTATCAGGAAAAGTGATTTTTATTTAACATTCCCCCTTTTGCTAAACATAACTTTTACTATTGCAATGTTTTTTTTATCCACTTTCTTCAGGTAACTTGTTAATGAGTTATTTTTGAAGTCAAATGCCCCCCCCTTCCCCACTTTCAAAAAGAAATTATTGCTGAAACATTATATATTCCTAAGAACACAGAAACTCTTGTGCCTATTAAATTGAGAGATAAAGAATAATTTTACATTATGAAAAATGAGCAGACCCCGCCCCTAAATACAAGTAAATTAATGTTTTTATACACTGTTAAAGAACAATCAGTTATTTTTTTTTTCATTACCCATTTTGAAATTGATTGTTCTACATATGAAATGAATCTTTTTGAATGCCATATTGTTCACAAGAAAGACACTCCCCTTCCCTCTCTTTCTCGTGCATACATAAAAACATGTCATTTTATTTTCTCTTACACCTCTTTTAAAAACAATTTAAAATTAGCATTTTTTATTTACTGCTTTAATCAGAGACATAAATATTACGTGCATGTATTTTTATTGTACTGAATTCAACAGTTGATACAATGATAACACTAGTTTAAAACTAAACTAAAACTAGACGAAGAAAATTGTTTGAACAATGACGCTGATCCACTTTTCCGCGGATTAGCGAAAAAAAAAATCTGCTTTTCCGCGATGAAAAATAACAGAAATACTACATATTGTTTGTGTATATAATGTACGCTATAATATAATTTGACATATGCATATAAAAAAAAAACTTTTTTCGCATATAATGTTAAAAACATTCATACATATAGATGTACATTATATAATGAAATCACATGTTGAAGTTATGCACATATATAAATGTAATTGTATAAAGTAAATACTACTTCATTTAATAAAAAAAATACGTGCAATTTTTGCATATAATATTTATTCTTCATATAAGACAGGGAACATTGATATTAAATTTTACAATATACGTATATGTGATTTTTATGTATATATCTTTTATTTATATCATTTGGTGTCTCTTTGAAGCCAAATGCGTGTCGCCCTATAGGCCTTTAGATCATTATATAAAAAATTCCTTGGTGTTGAAACACACAATTTTTTTTTAAAACATTCGTAAACAAAGTATGTGGCCATTTTAATAATTTCCATGACGTGACGTCAGAAACCTTTCGCTAACCAGTGTACAATTCATTCCATTTTATCGCATTGTGAGTTTGCACTTTAAGTTTAGTCATACTAATGAAGGAGGAGAACTTTTCAGCAATCAATTAAAGCTAAGTGCAATGTACCCCTGGCCATTTAAAATATAATAATTAAAAAAGAATAATTAAATACATTTAATTAAAACCAGTCGCGGAATAATGTAAAATAATCGCGAAAAAAAATAGACAGGGGGCTAAAAAAAAAAAATCACGGAAAAGCAAAACCGCGGTCGAGTATACTGTCTAAGTGAACTAAATTGAGGGTACAAGCTTGTCAATATAAGTAACAAATATTCAGGTTAATTATGTTGTTGAGGGTTTTAGCCAGCTGATACTGTTACACAGACCTGTTTGTTATTGAAGCGCATCAGAGACCATGACTGAAAAGCATCAGGTCATATCAACCCCGTCAAGTATCAAAACAGATGTGACAACTTTTATTTAAAAAAAAGAGATTTTTCACATTTTCTTTTTCACAAAATTGAGCTGCATCTGAAATTTTTTTGGACTCAAAATTAATAAATAAGGATTTTCACTTTATATGCCCCAGCTAGACTAGTATAAGGTATTCATAAATCTTATTGGAACAGAAAAAGTCACTCTATTATATATTTTGCATTAAATTCATATTTTTGAAAAAAAAAATCAATCATTTGTATTATTATATGATTGAATAATTTCCATCTCTCTGATTGGCTGATATCCAACTATGTTAGAAAAATACTACGTTGTATTGACCTGCACGTGACGTTCCAGGTCAATACAAGGATTTATTTCCTCTACATTGATCTAAAAATAGATTGGAAAATTCCAAAGCTATTTGAACGACTGTGATTTTTTTTATGTGAAAAAAAAAACACATAAGCGAATATATATTTTAGGATGAAGATGGTAAGAGGGGATGCAGGGACCCCCAATCAACACTTTTACTGAACAACATGTTTATATATATATTTTTTTGTTGACTTTTTGGCAGTCATTTTTCCCTCATAATAAATACTCCTTCCTTTCAAAATCCATCCTATAAAAAGACTGACATTATATTATTTTTTTCATGGCAACTAAAATTGATTTTAAAAAAACATTTCAAATTGATACAACTGGTAAGGTTTATTCACATTTTAAGTCTGTTTCTCTCTTGTATTTGGCTAGGACTTAATTAAATGCAAGTTAACAAGTAATGAGCTGCATCATTTTATCAGTGAATCATATAATAAAACAATTATTGCTGTTTTTTCGGTCAATACAATGATTTAGCCATCTTCGAAGTACAATATTCACCTCGCCCTTGCTCGGTAAAATTATTTGGCTTTTGACCTCAAAAAAATTATTGTTATCTTCTGTCGCATATTAACAGCTTACATGACACATTATAATTTTGTCTTGTAGTGCTCTGATAGAATTCTGTAGTCCCGGTCTGTGTCCAAACTGGAAACATCTAAGGGGACAAAACAGGCAAGTTAAACCAAACCTACATTTGGACATCCTCTAAGATTTGTTAGAAATTAAAATGCGCCATCTTCTTCAAGATAAGTTTTCACCATTTCAACTTTCAACCTTTTTCATCAACTTTCTAATGTTTCATCGACGTTTTTTTTCTTCTTCATTCATATTTGCATTTATTCATTGGAAAATACAGTATTTTAATTATTACAGATCATTCAATAAAGTTGTTTTATAAGAGATCGATACTATTTTCGTTAAAATACCTAATGCATTTTTTTTCTATTTCAAATGTTTATCTTCATAAGTTTATACTTGTGAGAGAATAAAATAAACAGTAAATCTTTCAACTGACATTTTCTGTTGTACTATTTGGCAGGCTCAGCAACTGTCAAAATGGAATCAAAATAGCCCGCAAGCATTTCGGAATTCCTCTCATTCTTAATCCGGAACATCTCTCAAGTTCCCAGCTGGACGATCTATCCTGTATAACATACTTATCATATTTCTTAAAAGTCGGTTCCCCGGGATTTAACGCCACGCTTCAGCGCATTCAGTCCCTAGTAAGGGACATCCCAGTGTCCAATTTCACGGTTAGTTTAGCATCATTGTAAGGGGTATAAAGATTTGAATTAGAATGTAAATCAATACAATTGCATACATTAACAGGTTTGTTGGACAAAATCTTGAATATATATGAACTTATAGCTGATATTGTGTGTTAATGAACATCGTATGGAACACAATGAACTTGAGACATACAATTATACAATCTATTTGAATTTCGAAATTCCTGAATTTTAAAATTGCTCAAAATCATCATCTGTTATTACATGGGTGTTAAGGACAGCACACTATAAAACAGTTTTCATTCAGAAGTATTTTAAACAATAAAGGGTTTGTACACAGACGCAGTGACGTCTTTATGCTTAGCTGCAGATCTATTGCTGTCTGGCCTGAACAAAATTGGAATGATCGTCCATCCCATTTTTTTTTTCAACCAGAGAGCTACGGATCTGCATCTACTTTATGCTGTATTTCTTTTAGACTGACTGGAACGACGGGCGAGTCTTGTGCCAGTTAGTAACCAATCTAGGGGGGAACCTCGGGGACTTCCACACCGCCTCAAATATAGAGAGGCTGCAGTACGGTTTGTAAATATATAACAGTTAATCAAATTAATAATTTTGCCTTTGGCATTCTTCCTTTTTGTCCTTGACAGGAAATCAATATACCAACTACACAATTATGTTTTTTATTCGGTAAAACATTCTTTGTTAAATGCAAAATATAACGTCTCGCAGGTATTGATGGGGCACAGTCTCTCGGTATTTATCCTATAATGACTGCAGCAGACATGGCTGAAGAAGACTCGGAACACCTTGGCATTATGGCATATGCAGCGAAATTCATAAATATGAAACCAATTTCTATATCAGCTTTCTCAAAGTATGAGCAGAAACAGGTAAACCACTCAACAAAAAAGCCTTAAATTATTTTAAATTTTGCTATTAAAAGAATTTAAGTTATAAGAACGCTAGACAAATATCAATTTAATTTAGTAAATGAGTGTAATAATAATTATATGTCTTGATCTTCATGGTTAAAATACATTTTATTTGATAAAATATTTACAAAGCATTCTGACCCTGTTCTTATAATTAGCATTTACATGGAGAAATAGTTTTTAGAACAAAGTATACGTCTTGCATATTATATACATCTTGGAATTTTTTTATTTATTATAACAACATACGTGACATTGTTACTATAGCAAGTCTTTGTGTTTTCAGATCATTGTCTGTGACGAAAGACAACCTGTGATTCCTTCGGAAGCCGTGATTCCAATAAGAAATACAGGAGACTCAAAATACACAGTTATCCAACCTGGTGTCAACAAACCGGACAGGACAAGATCTTTCCGAATCGAAAGAATTAACAACGGACCGAAGGTCAACTCCTATCAAATAAATGGAATAGAGACCAGACCCGAGAGTTCATTCCGTATTGAAGGAACCTCCGTCACGTCTGATCCGCGACCTAAACAGAAACCGGAAGTCAATGGCTATCATGATACAGTAGATGGTAATGTTACCTATAATCTTATTCGACAACCGTCGCTTAGAAAAGCCAAGAAAACCCGCCCTGACCCGACTGGAGGGGTTAAAGTAGATACGTATTCAGTTGGTGTCATCATGTCCTCAACAGTAAGTAAATATTTTATCTTTCTTTGTCAAACTCTATAATGACCTTGACCTTTGACAATGACCAAGTTCTAAGGGTAATGGTCAAAGGTTTTAAATCGTTACGTTGATGCATTAGATAGTCATGCAGAGACACTGATGCGTCTTATACAGAATAACTTATAAAATTTTATTGTTTTTATTTTAACAGACAAACGATATTTTACTTAAAGACGATATCAAAATCGAAGCGTTGTCTCCTAATGGCCGTATCATCAAAATGTCCGGTGTTGGTACTTACAATGCACAGTTCGAGCCCGATGAAATAGGTAAATTTTTGCACAATTTTGGCTTCGAATTCTACCTGACTTGGTGTAATTATAATTTATAGAACGAGCTCTTAAATATAAAATTAAAGTTAACGGCATTTTTATATTTATTAAAAAAGAAAATGACGATAAAAATGAAACATTATGAAATAATAATTTATGTATGAGCAACATTTGAGATAATTTTTCGTTAAAGACATTTATTTGGAGACATTTCTATTTCTATAAGCGATGAATATTTTTCTTTACATTTTTGAAAGGGGAATGGAGGGTTTCCTTGTATTGTCAAGGGAAACGCATCGACTCGTGTCCTGTTGATGTTTGCGACCCTTCAAGAGTCAGGGTCATTGATCTAAAAGGTGGAATAGTCGGAAGACCAAACAGATTTAAAGGTGACAATTGAAAACAATTTTATAATTTCTTTTACATAATATCGAAATTTTATTGAAGAAAAAAATTAAAACAAAACTTTTCATCTGTTATATTACCCATTGATAATTAGTATATTTATCATTTTCAGTTGATTGTTCAGAGGCTGGTAAAGGAGATTTAGAAATTTTCGTGAAGAATGACAAAGGACGTGTTTCTTCCTTCTGCTCAGACAATGGACATGGCATCTATAATGTTAATTTCACGCCCTACCTCAAAGGATTGCATTACATCACAGTCAATTTTAACCGGGCAGAAATCAGAGGTTAGCATGCCACATCCATCTACCTTTTTGTTTAAATGGATATTTACTAGTAGAAACTTAAGTTCATGTAATAAACTTGGAATTTATTTGACTTTTTATTGCTTTGTTTCATTCCTAGCTCCAAAACAAGTCGCTGATGTTTGTAAGAATGTGTTTGTCGATCTTTTCAAACTAAAATCGTGATGAAAACTAACAACCAATCATTAATCACCACGATCCTAAGTTTTCTGAAATACTTATAAATTTTTGATAAAATACTGTACATGCATCCTTTACATGTAACTTATATTAGAAGTTTAAAAAATAATAGCATGTGTTTTAATTTGTGCTCTTTATGAGGAAATTTTAATAAATATCCTATAATAATTTTTTTGAAATGACTTTGTATTACTTGTATTTAAAAGTGTATGTTTCTACATGAATATACATTGATATTGAAAATCATAGGTGCATCTCTCTCCAATTAATCTCGCTTAAGATGGGTAAAGAGTGATTTTTAAAAGTGAATATTGCTACACTCTATAAAGTTTCAGAAATACTTGATTACGAAAAATGAATCTGTTTCAGATGATGAAATTTTACTGGGGGCAGATGGTGAAGGGATGCACAGACGTGCTATTTTCTTCTCTGAAATAATCGAAGAAGATGACGGAAAATTTAAAGTGAAAGCATCTTGTATGTAATTGTAACATGTACAAATTTTCAGTGGTATAACGCTTCTGTTTGCTTAATAAACACTTTTTTCTAAAGTTTTCCAAATTGGTTGAGTGACCCTTACAATGTTAATAGCCATAAACGCATGGATGACCCCCAGTTTGAAAAAGAAACAGCAGTGAGTATCTCATTACGAATTTGTAGGTGACTGGCAGATAGATTATGTCACGGGTGGACCGTACGAAGTCTCTATATCGGATTCTGTGGATGTTAAAGTGTACAGCATGAAGGATGGCACGATCTGCAATCTCCCTCATCTGATAGGTAAATAAAATCGGGTAAAAGATTTAATTCATTTGTATGACAAAGCAATTTCCCACTGACAGATGCGGGGATTTCTCTTTTTTATGCAAAAGAATTAGGACAGGACTCACTTACAAGAATGAAGATTCTGATAAGATTCTGAATATTTTTTTCGTCCCATTAGATCGAGGATATTCAGTAAGGTTTCAGTAAATTTTGAGTTCTATTTCATATTGTAGCGGACTGCTCAGAGGCTCCAGAGGGGAGATTGGATGCTGAAATAACTTACGGTCACGAGCGATTTCCCGCCACTGTTACCGAAACGAATCCAAAAATCTATCAAATCACGTTCCGTCCAAGGGGCAAAGGAACGTACAAAGTGTGGCTAGTGTACAGTGGTTTAGTCGTGAAAGGTAACGCTGCAGTGTTTCTATCTGAATACATGTTTTATCGTTTTACTTTAATGTTTGTGTTTTTTCAACGACCCATCTCGAGAATTTTTCACTGGTGTATGGAAACGCCACTACCTTCCTAGTGGAGGGCTGCAAATCTAGACCTATACGTGGCCATAGAGAAGTGATTGCAGGATCTTTTTTCGTGGCAACTCCTACTGTGACACGGTTTATACGGTCTCATGCAAAGGACCGGTCTTTAAGTCCCGCAGTGGCTTTGTGTTCGTTTATATGATTACATTTGTGATGTCGCGAACTGTCCAAACGAAAGGGCAATTATTGCGAATATTTTGTAAAAATTTTAATGCTCCCTCTATAGGCTTTTTGTGAATTAGGGAGGGAGATGCTTTGAATTTAAGGATAATTATCTTAAATTGCTTGCAGGTTCACCATTCATCATAGAGGTGGATGAACTAACAGCACCGAAAGCTGAAGGAGATGGGCTAAGAAAGGGGGTTGTTGGCCAACCGGCTAAATTTAAGATTGACTCCAGAGGCTTTCCGGGTGACCTTCATATTGACATACAAGGTGTGATAGTTTTATTTCAGGTCATTTTCTTACTCTGTTTTATAAATTAATGTAATTAACATGATTATTTAAAATTAACCTCACTGACATTTTAGGTCCGCACTATCCTATTAACTTCACCCGAATACCTGACAAAGACGGCACATTTAATGTAACGTATACTCCCGAGGAAACCGGGTCTCATAAAATCCGTATCAATATCGATGGTCGACCTATAGAAAGTAAGTGATTTGGGGGGCAAAGAAATATCTTGTTAGTCTAGAATTTGCAAAAAAATCTTGCTTTGACGATCTAGGTCAAAATATTTATTTTTTTATTCTTTTTATGTAGAGAGCCCTTTTACAGTGAAAGTCGTAGACCCAAATAAAATCCGTGTTTCCGGGGGGTGGCGCCCTCTAATAGATGACAATGAACGAATCCCATTGGTCGTCGGAAAGGAGAAGCAGATTCCATTCGATGCATCAGAAGCCGGACCTGGTGAACTCACTGCAGACGTTTGTGGGCCAACAACAAAAATACCGACAGCCGTGGAGATACGCCCCGGGGGTCGACACACACTGGTGTTTACACCAGAAGAGGAAGGTACAATGTACATGTAACCATACGTGTAGTTCCTAAATGTTGTGTCTGATGTCAGTGTAATAAAATAAAATACATTTTTATAAGAACATTTATAGTTTGAGATTTTTCTAATTTTGTGCTTCTGGAGATTTTGACCAAAAGAGATCTATACATAAAACTTTAATATATATCTAATGTCACAGTAGTATTTTGAGTGTACATTTTGACTGTTCAAATTTCTCTAAAGCATTTTTTTCATGGTTTGAATGTAGGGTGTCTTTTGTTGAAAATAAATAAATAACCCAGTAATAATATCTTCATATCATATAATTTTATGAACGTCCATTAGTGGCCATTTATATTATCCGTTAGTTATTAGAAGGTTCTTATAAAGACTTGTTTGGGTTTTAGGTGATCATTATATTAATGTTAAATGGGATGACTTTCCACTGCCCAACACTCCATATCTAGGATACGCCACCAAGCCACCACCGGACAGTAATGGCGGTCTGTTTAGACCCGTCATCAACCTTAACCTTAACACAGGATCGCCAAGGTACATGTATTTACTGTATCTCTTACATATACATGTATGGCTGCAAAAATAAAAAGTCTGAGTTTGCCGAGTAACTTTAACATCTACATTCTATACTGGAAACAAAAGCTAAAATATTAAGCTTAACAAGTTATTACAATTCACAGGTCTATCTCGTCCGATGAACAGCCCCGAGTCCAACCAACACAACTCCATAGCCCACTTCACAGCCCTGTTAACATTCTTTTCGAGCTTCCAAAGGGAGCTGTTATGAATTCAAATACATACCCTCTGCCCGCTCCAGACTATCCTGATAATACTTCTCGGAACACTTCACCAAGGTCCATAAATGTCATTCGGAGACCCTCGGACACCGGATATCCCAAAACTAGAGTTTCTAAGATGTACCTTCCACAACGAGCAGGTATGTTTTTATTCCTTCTCACTGCATCCTATTTGTAATATTGATATTTCAACGATAGTTCACATATTGTATGAAGAATGAGCTGATGTTGATGACAGGAAATATGCCCTTATTGTAAAGTGAAACAATTCACCTTTAATAGTTATGTATAATTGCGAAAAGAAGAATGTTTAAAGGCGAAAATACCAGTCTGCTTTCCTGGATTTAAAATATGTCATTATTCTCAGAATTTCATTATCAGTTATAGTTTTTTCTTAAATGTTTCAACAGAAAGTATGTACTCTTCGACGAATTCTGACCTTCCGGTGAGAGTTAACGTTGTGCGCAGGTCCAACACAACAAGCCAGGGATCGAGTCTCCCCTCTACTAGGAGATCCTCTGTCAAGGGCTACCCCGCTCCTACGCCCCCTACTAAAGACCCCTCCAAGGTTGTGCTGAGCGGGAAAGGGCTCAAACATGCTCACCTCGACAAACCAGCTGTGTTCACCATAGACGGCCGAAATGCTGGAGAAGGTGAAATCTGTTTTCTATTGTATGTTGTGTATATACATGTAAAACAAAGTTTTAAAATGCCTTGACTTAGTGTGTGTACAGTAGAGTATTCTCCAGGAAAATATCCCGCTTGCGAATGTCACGCAACATTTTCATACCAAAATTTTGCTAGCGGTTTCCTGCCATTGATTCGCGTAATTAATGAGATGCATAAAACCCTTTTTCCGTACATAAAACATTTCTTATTGAATCATAATTATAACATTTTTCACAATTTTTTATTTGTAATTAAACAACACGATCTTTATAAAAAGTAATAGAACTGATCATAAATGCATTTTTGTGCTACATCTTATACATGTAAACTTGATATATATATGCATGAATATTTCCATTTCTAATTTTTTTCTCTGCGATAACTCTTTAAAACAGTTTATTTCTTGATAATTCTGCCGGAATGTAAATTAGGCAGGTTGTAACATTTTTGCAAATCTCGTGCGCATTTTTTATTTTTAAATATGTGTTTGACGTCACAGGACTATTGAAATTTGCATGGAAGTATGTGTAATTTAACTATGTCTACAATTTTAAAGTCTAAATCTACAATTTTATTTCACAATGAAATGGAAATATAAATGCAGTTTTTATGCCAGGGACATCAACGATTGGGTACATGTAAACTTGATATATGCGTGAATAATTTAGGGGAACCGGAAGTCAGAATAACAGGGGTCAACAAAGAGATTCCGGTTAAGATTGAGCCTACCGGTCCACTCCAGTACAGATGTACCTACACACCGACGGATCCCGGCGCTTACCTGTTGGATATCACCTGGAATAAACGGCCTCTGAAATGTTGTCCCTTCAAAATCAACGTCAACCAGCCGGTGTATCCACACAAGGTGAACGTCAGTGGCCATCCGCTTAAAAGCGGCGTTGTTGGGCGCGATATTCAATTACACATCGATCCTAGAAATGCTGGATTAGGTATGTAAATTTATCAGATCTTGTTTCTATTCGCGAATTTTTTGCAATCTTGAAGAACCCTGAAATTCTTTTAAAAGCGATTTTCTTTTTATTTTAAAGGGGACTTAACGGTGAAGTGTGTTGGACCTCAAATGTCAGAGGTGCCAGTTACACTGGTGGACAACTATGATGGAACCCATAGTGTTAAACTAAGACCAGCTCAACCTGGGCGCCATATTCTGCATATTATGTATGGAAATGAACACGTTCATGGTAAACAGCTGCACTAATTTATCCGAATTTTTTTTTTGGTCATGTTTACATGTTTTCCTAATAAAATTGAAAGAAAACACATTAGTAAGATTTATTCTTTTTTGCAGGAAGTCCATATGCAATTGACATAAAAACACCACGTAAGCAGCAGTACCCGGTGAGAGTGTACGGCCCCGGGATAAGTGACGGGATTCTCCCGGAGTTTGAGAGCCATTTTATGGTAGATGCTCAAGGAGCTGGGGCAGGGGAACTGAAAGTCGTCATCATGGGCCCAAAAGGTACATATAATTAATTTATTCTTTAAAAATAGGAAGCAGTGTAAAGTAACAGAATTATGGTCATTTTTTCTTTATTAAAGGAACATTTGACTTTTAAAAAGAAAAATACTATTATAGGTATTTGGAATGAGGAGGCAATAAGGCCAAATTAAGCACATGTTATTTCTATCTTTATATAAAAAAAAAACTTTTTCATTCGGAAATAGGTGCCTTTAATGTGGAATTGAGCCGTACTAGCCAGAAAGACAAACTTGTTCATTGCCGCTACAGTCCGGTAGAACCAGGACTTTACACCATTAATGTTATCTGGTCCAATGAACATGTAGAAGGAAGTCCGTTCAAGGTTAATCTGGCAACGAGTCAACTGCAGCTAGAGCGCATGCTCATGGAAAGGAGGGCTTCTCTGCCTCGATCCTTATCATCCAGTAAAGAGGCCCAAGGAGATCCGGAAAATCAGAATATTCTGTATTGAACAGGACTTCTATTTTAGACATTTTCGTTTGATTTCATTTCATTACATTTTAAAGCATTTTTTTTTACATGTAACCACAAAGGGGAAAAGGTTTAAAAAAGCAAAGAATGTACAATGTTTAAACATTTAGTTTTGTAACATTTCTTTGAGATGTTTTTGCCCTTTTCCAATCATTAAACATAAGTGCATACCATATTAAGAGCTTCATAGCAAAAAAAGAAAAAAATAATAATATTAAATACTGTTGTTTTTGAAGGAAAATTAATAGTACATGTACTTTTTGAATAAAAAGGTGCCCTCTGAAATGGACATGGTTGATATAGGCATGTTGACTTAATCTATAAACAACCAACCATGTGAAATGAAAAGATTTGTGATGAATCCTTGATATATGTTTCATTGAATAATTGTAAACAATCGTTTGAACGATGATGCATTACTTTTTTAAAGTTTGAACTGCTAAAAACTATTATATTATTGTATTGGAATCTATATAACCATGTCACAGGAATTTAGAATTTTCCAAGACTGTTGTTATTTTTTGTTGTTGTTGTTGTTATTTTTTTTTTAATCTAAACAAAGCGACTTTTTATTTTGATGTTTAATGAATAATAGATGCAAGTAGATTAAATTTATAGTATTTTTATTAAGGATTTTCAACACTCATGGATAAAAAATCTTTTTAATTTTCAACATTCATTGTAATGTTTTTATATTCGAATGTTCCACGTCTTTTGTCGAAGATACTGAACTTATTTTTATTTTATTTTATTTTTTTTTTTTGCGCTCATAATATAAATACGTAGGCTAAATAATATTTTCCCATTGATTTTCTTAAAAGGCTTATTTTTTCAAAATGGTTCCTTTCTAAATGCTAGGTCAAGTATTTATCAACTATATGAATCAGTAAAAAATACTAACTTTTCACAAGAATATACATTTTGAAGTGTCCGTATTTGGATCTTGACTGATAATTATGGTCATGTTCGTTATAGAAAATGTAACTTTTTAAATCTATATATTCAAAAGTTTTATTGCATAAAGATTATTATTATTATATATAATTAATTTTAAAAAATTGTGTAATAAAAAAATTATTGTAAAATTTGTAATAAATATATTGTGCTTTCAAATTCAGAAAACAAATATTTTTTATCGATCTTATAAAATCTATAAACATCACAAATACATGTATGTACATGTAAAGGTTGCATAAAACACGGGTCGACCCCTGGAATGGTGGGATCAGGTGCCTGTAAGAAGAGTTAGCACCCCTGTTTGCCAGTCACACCAGACGTGAGCCATATTTATTGATCTGGTATATAGAACTTTGAGTAGTCAATTCAGTATAACATAAATGAAGACTTGGTAATTGCTAGGAGGCAAAATACGATCTATTGATAGATTATTTGCTTGAAGGGGGACGTGACTTTTTATTTGAATAATTAAGTCAATCGACCCTCCTCACCAAAGGATACTATATGGCAAGTTTGGTAAAAATTGGTCCAATGGTTCTTTATAAAAAGTGGGGAAATGTGAAAAGTCTAAGGACGGATATATTTGTGATCAGAAAAGCTCTCAGTTTTATATCCCTATTGTTTTAATAAATTTAACACGGCAAGATACTAAATAAAGATAATTTTACGTGTGTTGCAAAAGACCACTCATACACGTTACTTGTGCCTATGATTAACAGAAAACAACATTGTTTGTTCCTATATTTGAAGATTCTTTATTTCAAAACAACATTTAAATACACTTTTTTCACATCATTATAGTATTTGTCCACTACTCTTTTTATAATTGTCCCAACAATCTCTGTAAGTCTCGTCTAAATTGGAAATTGTCTCTGTCTAGCATATCATTACCCCTAATTCTTCTCGTATCCTCTCGCATTCTGTTTGTAAATCTGGGAAGTTGTCCGAGAAACCATCGTCTGGATAATGGCAACGGGCTTGGCGAAGGAACTGGGCTAGGGAAAACGAAGGGACGACGCATGCGTAGATCGGGAATTCTTGGTACTGGTGTGATGACATCCCGGAATAGGCTGAACCTCCTCTCCGGCCGAGGAGTCGTGTTCGGTATTGGACCTCGGTCACGGGAGGGAGAGACGGCAGAGAATGAATCGGAAGTTTGTAGTCTTTGGATTTCATAGTAAACTTCAGAAATGTAGGTGAATCCTTTCGGTTTTAGAAGAACATTTATTGTTCCACCATTTGGATTTCTGTTTTGGAAGCAGACGTCATTTCCGTCTCTGATGGCTGTATAATAAACATATCGAAATATTGTTATATGCAAAAATATATTGAAAAGGTAATATGCTGTTTTTATCGTCCTGTTTTCAATAGAAGATATTATTTAAGAAATAAAGTCTGCGTTTTCGTGAATGTTGCAGAATAACCTCTCTAACGCCTCGGCTTTTATCTTTCAAACAACATTACGAGACCGAGGAGGTTATTCTGCATCATTCACGACAACAAGCTAAGGACTTTATTTCTATTCTGCTGAGTAGCAGTAAAATACCGCTGATCGTTTCTCTATAGAGAAACGAATTAGGTCACCATACTGCGGTAACGCTGTTCCATTTACCACCAGAGTGTAAATTTGTCTGTTTACCTGTAAATTAGAATGCAGACGATTTGTGCTTTCGCCGCATTAAAATTAGCCTTTTATTAATTATATATATGTTTGTAGCTTATATAGATTAATCTTTTGGAATATACAATTACAAATCAAGTTTCCTATTTCACCACTTTATCACTAAAATCACGGAGTTTAAATATGGCGTAGGAAGGTCCGTGAACAGTCCCGCTTAGCTTTAGAAACCTTCATTCACCAGCCAATTTCTGCAATATACAGTGTTTAAATTGCAAAAGACGACACATTGATGTTGTCTAAATATGAATTTCATTCATAAGTCAAATGTACATTTCAGCTGCACATGTTTGATACGTTTTTCTGATCTGATAATTTTTTTATGACGCTCGTGATTTATTGGAGAATAATATCCGCGGCATTTCTTTGATCTCGGCAATAATCGTAGTAGAATAAGTGTTGAATATATAAGAATTTGGACTTTGATACATTATATTTTATAATTATAGACGTTGCACATTTTTGACTTGATTAAGCTTTTATTTCATACACAAAAGACTTGTCTAGAAAATTTCTCATTGCCAAGTTCAAGGAAAACTGCTGAATATACCTTACACTTTAATTTGCGTCTACTTTCAATTACTTAACCCCCCCCCCCCCCCGAAAACTGTAAACGTACAATTTTTTAAAGATATTATCTTTTTTATCTGCACTATTAAGGCTATCGTTTTGACTTCTAAATATTGATCTATAATTTGCATTTCTTTAGAATTTTATCAGTTATCGTACGTATGTATACATTCAACAACTAGAAATTAAATCAGTGCTTGTCTGTAACAATCCTTTTCTTATCTGCACTTCCGGGAATAAATATTAATTTAACAAAAGATTTTTTGAAAGTGCAGAGATGACAGATTTTCATAAATTAGCGTAAATTAGTTTTCGGAGAGGATACATTTATTGTACCAGATGTGACCCGAGGCACCCCTTGCTTGCACGGGGCTAGAGGCAAAACAACATTGCACTTTTCCTATGCGTCACTTCTGACAAACAATAAACACACTGAGCTGTGAAAAGAAATGTTTCCATGAGAACAGACTCAACGAATTACCATTAATTAAGGTCTTCCGACTTCCTTCGGAAGACCTTACTGTTTTTCTTATGTTTCCTATTATTATTATTATTCCCTTTTCATAGTACACGTGATTTCTCGGAAACTACTTGACCGAATTCAAAGGTTTTTTCAGGAATGATGCATTGTTATAATATCTCCAAACTATTTTTTTTATTTTTTGTAAAATCACTACCGGTCACATTTTTTGTCCGATTTCCTTTTTTTAAATTGCCATTTTGTCCAAGCAACTCCTTCTTAACCACTCAAGATTTAATCACGATATTTTCGGGGATGATAAAATATCTCTTTCAGTTAAGCATGGCATCTTTTGATTTTGCATCCGTCACTTCCGGTCGACACAGGAAGTGACATTAATTTTCGAGATTTTTTTAAAAATTTAACCGTTTTGAATAATGGCAAGTAAAACTTATGTTCACATTAACAATCGTCAACAAAACGCATCCATTTGAATAACTTCGGGTGTAAACCGGAAGTAGTCGAAAAATTAAACTTTCTCTCTTGCGTCAAAAGAAATAGAATAATTGGTTTTATGCGAGTTTTTTTCAAAGTTTTTTGTACTTGTGACTTTGACGTCAGCCGGAAATGATGCCTATATTGTCTAAATTCGTCAAATGATGTCACTTCCGGTCAAACCGGAAGTAGCCAAAATAGCTTATTTTGAAGGTTTTGACGTAAAATTGAAAACTTTTAAATTTCAGAGACACTGAAGGCGTCTTAACTCATTCCTTTCTCTTGTTGACGTCACTTCCGGTCAAAACTGGACGGAAGACCTACTCGTTGCTTTGCAACGAGCTTTGCTCTAGTATTTTATTTATTTTTGGTTGTTTATAGCCATGTAGCAAGCAGCAATATTTTTGTTCATGTTTGACTGATCACAAAAGCATTTTCTATTGAAAATCTATGGTCACATACATGTATTTTTTCTGTCTTTATCTCGCACGGTCAACCACCACTTGTCGGATAATTATATGTCGACTTTTAGTACCGTATCATCTTTAATAGTAAGTAATTTAGATATGTATAAACCCATATAAACCAATCTTTCATTCCCTAATCTGATCATACTTCAGTATAATTGCAATTTACATTTGCTCGTGCATGTAATCATGACAATAAAGATTCACAATTACATACGAAACTTACGCTGGATTTGTTGTGAAGAGACGTCCCAGGCTCGGAGAACCTCATAACGTTTCAACTCTACCAAACAAACCTGGTAGGGATAATCTCGCCAGAACGAGAGTTGAAGGTCCCTACGTGAATACATGACCGAGACTTTCCCGAGATCACACGTTGGATTGACATTGACGTAGGAAGACTGTGGTCTTGCCTTCATTCTACAAATATTGCAAAACAATGGTTAAAAATTTAGTTTTTTTTTCTGTATGAGAGTTTTGTTTATTAACACTGAAATTATCCATGAGGCCATCTTTTAAAAAATCATTTGGTTGCTCTCTCCCGACCGACTGACTATAATTGGCCCAACGTCGTTGTTGTCGTTGTAAAATTTTCTCATTTTCATCTTCCTCTCAAGAACCACTGGTCCAAACTCCGTAGATGAAGGGGATTAAAGTTGATCCAAATATATGGGGAAAATCTTTTCCTTAAGAACAGCAAGGCTATGATTGGTCATATTTATATGGATGCATTCTCAGATTGTGTAAATTCAAGTTTGTTCAAATCATGACCCCCGGAGGAAGGGTGGGTCAACAATGGACGACCACAGTTTTACATAGGAATACCGTATAAGTGGAAATTTTAGCGAGACGCAATTTAGCGATTTGTCTTTAAAAAACACTTATCTAGTAATTTATTTTTAAAATGCACATGTCATTAAAAAAGCTATTAGAAATAAAATGCAAATAATTATTAGCGATGTTCCATTTTAGCGATCTCAGCAACCTCGCTAATAATGCCAAAATTAAATACTCTCTAAAATTTCTACTTATACAGTATATAGGAAAAATCTTCAAAAATTGGTCTTCTCCTCAAGAACAGCAAAGCCAAGATTGGTCATATCTATATGGAAGCATCCTCAGATAGTGTTGATTCAAGTTCTAATCATGATTCCCAGTGGTAGGATAGGACCACATTATGAAAATTCAAACTTGTTACAAAAAAGTCACAGTCAACAAAATATGTAAACATCCTTAGTTAGTGTAGATTCAATTTTGTTCAATTCATTCTCCCTCTCCCTTTTTGGGTTAGGTTGGAACCACTTAATGCATTTAAGCTTTTCAATTCTAAACTGATTTTTTTGCTTTTTTCCCCCTAGCCAATGCTCAGGTGAACGATGAGGCCTCTGGGCCTATTGTTCTTCCTCTTATCCCGTCATCAAATATAAAAATTTTCTAGAAAAAATTTTTTCCACCTACCTATAAACCCAATAATTTTACCCTGCGTTTGAAGAGGACAAACATTATTTTAAAGATGGCGTGATAAAAAATTGTGAAATATATACATGGAAAAAATATAACTGACGAAAGTTTTCGAATCATTTTGAAAACATTAACAAACAAAAAAAAAGCAAATGCCAATCTACAAAACGTTTCGATTCATTTTAAATGATTCTTGTATTGATGGAAAAGGATAAATCTAAAAAATTCAATATCTCATCAACAAGTGCATTGTATTAATCTCTTGAATCAGCATAATTAACATGTGTAAAGCGATCAATCTAAATACGTTTACAGACTCACTAAAGTCTTTATCTTTTAATGTTTCCTCCATACAATTCCTCATCAATTATGCACACTCCTTAAATAAGAGAATGTGAACGCTAATTAGGTTCCTATGAATGTAAATCTTTGTAAATTAAATGTTAAATTCAAGTATGTATTTCGTCAGCTTTTAAGAAAGATTTGATAAAGACCCCTTTCTTCAAAACTAGATGTATACATAACTATTCAATTTTTTTGACACATTTGAATAAAAGAATGCCAATTATACAATGTTTAATTTTACAAGAGGTCCAGGGACCATGTACCGCTAACCTGAGTACATTGGATAAGAAAAAGCAGAAAATCAGTTAAGTATTGAAAAGTATAAATCTGATCATTCACAGCTTTGCTGTTCTCAAGAAGATTTTAAAAGATTTTTCCAATGTACTCATATGTAAAACTTTGATCACCCATTGTGGCCACATCCTACCCATTTGGGACATGCTTTGAACAAACTTGAACATACATACCTAAGACTGATTTTATATAAATATGATCAATCATGGCTTTACTGTTCTTGAGAAGATTTTTAAAAGATTTTTCATGTGTATTTTTTCACTAATTCATAATTATCTCCCCTTGGTAGAAGGCATGGCCCTTCATCTGAACAAATTTGAATCCCCTTCACACAAGGAAACGTCGTGGCAAGTTTGGTAAAAATTGACCCATTGGTTCTTGAGAAGAAAGAGTTTTGGACAAAAACGACTTCGACAACAGACAACGAACAAATTTTGATTTTAAAATAATCACTTGAGCCGAAGCTAAATCCCACTCACATTCATAAGGAAACAATTTCCTGTGGCGGAAGGATATTTAGAAGAAATTTCTTCAAATCTATACATTTGTTAAATTTATCATCCTGGAGTCTAAGACCCACATATTTTTACTCAGAGAATATTTTCCGAATAATATAAGAAATATTAAATAAAGGTTTCAATGTATATTATGTATATTTACGGAACAGATTCTTCACACTGAACGTTGTTTGAAAGAAGAAGGTATGGTTTCCATACTGCCCTGTGATTTTCTAAAAAATAAAACTGGTGTAAAAGTTGAAAACTCATGCTTTTTAAATAATTGAAATTCAATGCAGAAAAATCATACGAGTCATTTTTCTCACTTGTGTTTTTAAATGCTAATTATGACGTCATAAACATGTGCATTTTCCCGTATTTTCTTAAAAAGTTGCAGAAGACACCAATTTTCAAAGGAATTTTCTTTCAGATAACATTCTCCACAGGCATCGCCCACAAAGATCGTGAGATATGTGATTTGTTATTGAATTTTGCACAAAATATCAAAAAATTAACATGGGCGACGGCTGTGGACACTGTTTTCTAAAGGAAAATCACCCTTGAAATGTGCCATTTTGAGGCTTTTTCTGTTGAAAATAGAGAAATGCTTCACATTAATGACGTCATATTTGCAGAGTGGCAAACCTTCATGCCATATTCTTTCCTGATTTATCAGAGTTATTTATTTTATATTCAAGCCAGTTTCAAATCATTTTGATGTCATTACATTTTTAGGGCGCAATAATATGGAACGCCATCACTGCCTTATAGCATACAACTATGCATTTATTATGTCAATTTATCATTACGTGATGTGAACATATCTTTACGTTATGTCCATTTTTTATGGGATGATGAAAATATATCTTAACATCATATCAATGCTGCATTACATGAAGTAAATACATCCTTTCATTATGTCAGCACTTCATAATTTGAAGTAAAAAACTCATTATGTGAAGTGATAATGTGTTTACATTGTGTTAAAACTTTATTACGTGAAATGAATGTTTCTTTACATCATTTCATTTCTTTAATATGTGAGGTCAAAACTGCATTACGTCAAGTAAATTGCGTTTTATAATTAAACTTATCATCACATGAAGTCAAAAGCCCATTCCTTTTTGAGAGTGTATATTTCTATTACATCAAAGTATTATTACGTGATATAGATTTATCTTTATTTTACGGCGAGGGCATCATGATGTGAGGTAAACATATCTTACCTTTATGACAATGCTTTATTACGTGGTGTAAAAAGTGTATAACATAATGTGAACATATCTTTATATTATATCAACACTTTATTACATTATGTCAAAACTCCATACCGTGATGTGGATATATTATAACGTTATGCCAACTCTTTCTTATGTGATTTAAAAATATCTTTATATTGTGTTAACTCTTTATCATGTGGATTCCAAGTTCATTACCTGATGCAAAAATACATTTACATTATCTCAAAGCTGTATATCTAGTATATAATAAATGTTGACGACCATGTTTTAATGACTGGTAAGAAGGGGGGGGGGTCGTGATTGATTAGGACAAATTACAGGCACATAATATCAACCCCCCTCTTTTCCCAGACATAACTTTACTATAGAAAATGTAATGTTCATTGAAACTGTACAGCCCCCCCCCCACCCCCACTTCTTGTCGAAATATAGTCCACTAAGGGTAATATAATAATATAATATATCTGGAAAAAAAATAGGATTGATTGAAGTTGGACCACTCTCCCCCAAATAGGATTTTCGGGCTTGGACATTTTTTTTCTTGGCTTGTCTAGTTTTTTCGGATAAATGATTTTTTTTACTGGCTGACCTCCTCTTTCAAAAAAATGATGCTACGTCACTGGAGTTAGTAATTTTTTTAATCATTCCAGGGCCAGAATTCTATTACAAAAATCTACCAGTCGCTCATCTAAATCAATTGAATATACCTTAGTAAGCATGCATGGGCACATATCAGTGGCAGCTATGGGAATCTTGAACAAGGAAGGGGGACGGTATATGGGCGGAAAGCGGAGAAGCTCTCAGGCTTTATAGTTTTATAGAAAAAAGTCTTCAACTTAATTCAGCTAAACTTAATGTGAAACTAATGCAATGTCCTACAAAGTTTAAGACTTTTATAAAAAAAAAACAATTCAAAATAAAAAGAAAGAAATGGTTGCTGCACGACTCATAATATTTGATTTATTTAATTATCAGATTAAAGTAAACACCATTGAATTTCGACGTGACTTTAATTCACAGTCGCCTTGTTAAGGCTTTGCATGTTTCAAGATTGTCAATCATTTGTCGCTTAAAGTTTTCATTTAAAGATGTCATTCCGAAATCGCTGAGAATCTCTTCTACGACAGTTTTCTCTCCCGCCATTTTAGTGCTTGCGGAACGCGGAAAATACGTTATGCTCATATAAAGGCCGAGGATACCCGCGTTCGCATAACGTAATAGTGAATCGACATAATGTAGAAGAGTGCGCACAGTATGGCATGAGCTTTTCACATCAGTTAATAAAAACTAAGATTGTCGTGAAAAGTAAACATAACGAAATGCAAGTTGACGAAATAAAATTGTAGTATGTGTAAATGTCATAAAGAGTTGATATAATGTAAAGGAAAGTTGACACGATGCAATAGTAGTGTGGGTTAATGTCATAAAGAGTTGACTTAATGTAATGGAAGGTTGGCACAATGCAATAGTAGGGTGGGTTAATGTCATAAAGAGTTGACATAATGTAATGGAAGGTTGACACAATGCAATAGTAGTGTGGGTTAATGTCATAAAGAGTTGACATAATGTAATGGAAGGTTGGCACAATGCAATAGTAGGGTGGGTTAATGTCATAAAGAGTTGACATAATGTAATGGAAGGTTGACACAATGCAATAGTAGTGTTCTGCTATAAGGCAGTGACGGCGTTCCATACAATAAAGCTAAAACCATACCCTCTTCTTCATTGTGAAAAATTTATGACTATTCATTTAATCTTGTCAATTTACTTAATACTTGTTACTTCAAACACAAATTTAATACTTGTTGTTTCAAACCATACAAAAACAATTTCTGTGACTTAAAACATAAAAGTATACAGTTGCTTTCTAAAGGGGAACAATCACGTTAAAAATCAGATATATCTGGTATTTAAAATTCTTTAAAATCCATGAGAAGAAATTTCTTATCTCTGATAAAAAAAATGTTACTTTATAAATCTATATTCTAATGCTTTTTTCCCAAAGTTAAACAATTAATCTAACGCTTACATGTACAAAAAATTCACCTTTAATGAGTGTTTTTTTTTTTTTTACATTGCTCTCAACTTAGTCAGCATTCTTTAAAAGATTGCATTCCCCTTTGTCAACATTTTCGAGAAGGTGGTAGGGAAGTTCGCTGTCTATTGACTTCTTTCGGCTATTTGCGCAGTATGATTTCTTATTTTCAAAATGAGTTGTGAACTTTGCATGGTACTTAAAATTGAAAGCATGAACACTTCACAGAGTAAAGCCAAATATACAAGTTTAGTTCAATACCACAGCTACAATGAAACGATCAAAACTGTCTAAATTTCTTTGATGCTTCTTGAGAACATTTTAAACACATCTCCTATTTAACATATGTAATTCCAGACAGAAAAAACACGTATTTCTTTACTAAAGCTTTTCATAAAAATGACCAAACCTGAGTATCACATCAGCTGCTATACGTAGGGATATTTTGAAAAATACATGAAAATAAGAGGTAACCTGCTTGGGCCCTAAATTCGACATTTAAATATATTGATGGCGCCTTATATATTACATATATATAGGATCTCACATGATTCGTAGTTGGATATGATTTTTATCGAACGAGTTGTGTGGTTTTTATCCCCGAGCCTTGGCGAGGGGATAAAACACACAACGAGTTGGATAAAAATCATATCTAACTACAAATCATGTGAGATTCTTTTTATCCCATGTTTTTTTACACCACAAATAATGTTTTACACAGCTTTTATATAGGATTCCACTTCATTTTACTTCATCACTCTAACGCAAAACCCATTGTGACGTCAAGACTGTGTGATACTAAAACGATATCACATGAGCTATATCAACGGGATAAAGGGTGAAACATGGGATAAATAACAATAGTAATTTTCAAATATGTATTGACTCGGTGAAAAATTGAGTAATCATACTCAAAAGTACACTGATTCAATTCAAAATGGGAGCAGAACAAATGCAGATCGAGAGCTATACAAGCATCAGAGGTAGGATCAGATGCCACTGAGGAGTAAGCATCTCATGTCTACCAGACACACCTGTAGTGTGCTCCTTATCATCCCTATGTTCGGGCAAACGGAAATCTCCGTAGGGAATTCAATATGTAAATAATAACACAAATTTTGTTTGAAACGTCGGTCGACTTCTTAATAGACTGTATTTGTGAAACACTTAAGCATCGTATTTTGATTTTTTAAGAGAGAGAGAAAGAAAGTATTATAATTTTCATATGTTGTTTGTGTCTCAGAGTTAATTCGTACTAAGAAGCGCGTTGTTTTTCATTTGATCGATTTCCAAAACAAATACTGATATATAAAGTGGTGATATATGGGTAACTACTACTTCGTTTCAAGCCAACATCTCACAAATATTATGTTCAATACAATGGTCTTGTTCGGAATTATGTCAATTTAGGTCGAATGTTAACTGACGTATTTTACATAACTTTGTATGGCTATTATTTTAACATTGAACTGAGTGTTGATTCAGCCATTTGTTCGATCATGAGAAAGACGACAGTAGCTTGAAAGGTCGACAGGGGATATTACTCCTCCATGGCACCTGTTTATGTTCACTCTGCTCACGTTGACTTTTTAGGACGATCATTGTTCGTCGCATTTTCATGTTATAATATAAAATCTAGCATTTTCATGTTATAATATAAAATCTAGAGCAATACTAATCGATACTAAGAAGTTCACTTTGCGTTAAATATTTAGCTACTAATGAATTGTTGTTTACCTTCCCTCTGTGTTTTGTTTTGTTTTAAATGTGAAAATATCCTGCAGGAAACACTTAGCTCAAGCTACAATAAGTAATACGATTGTTAAGAACATTTACATATTCATCCTCTTAGAAAAACGCATGAAAAAATGATTTGTCTTATTTGATGAACTCACTGGCAATTGATGTTTTCGAAAAATAAACAAAACCATGTACAAGCACTGATCATAAAAACTTACCCGACAACTTTTTGTTTACATTGCTCCTGTGTTAAACGTTTCTTCATGAGCGGTGTAGCACAGTCCCCAAGTATAAAACATCCAAAGAGAATTGTAGCTATGTATTTTAGCATGTTTAAAATATACTGAAGATTCAACAAGTATTTGTTTTCCCCTGGACTAGACAATGAAAACTAGCTGAAGTTTGGAAGTTGTCGCTTTTTGTTGTTAAATCTTCGTCACTCTTGAATTGTAATGAAATGGTGTCTTGTCAAGGTGCTAATTAATCACTGCATACAACAAATACTACACGGAAATCCCGCTGACAAATGAAAGACAAAAGCGGATGTACACAAAAGTAAAAAAAAAGTTCCTTAACAAGTCTTTTTTTCTTTTACATGTACATTTCTACCAAATAGGAATATATCTTTACGTAGAAATATATTTTCATCGACAAAATCCACCATAATTTAATTAGGTTGGAAAAATAAACACTTGAATTAGTGGCGAAAGATTTATATTGATGATTTAATTCAAATAATTTGTAAAAACTCCTATGATGTATAATTGTTTATTTCAATGATTTCCAACAAAATTAATATATTACAAGAACCGAAGACATTTTCATGTATTACTATCGATCTTAATACGGAATTGCTCAAAACGTTCTAAGATTTTTTTTTTAATAAAACAGAAGAGTATATTTCAAGCAAAAAAATAACTACATGTAAAATGAAAATCACAAAAGAATACCAAGGGATGACCATGGCATTAAAGACAACCATGCACCCGTAACATCAGAACCGGAAAGTTAAGGTTCTGATGTAAAATTTAGAAAAGGGATATTCAAGGCAAATTGGTGATATTTTTATGTCAGATGGAAACATTCATACAATTTTGAAAGAAAAATTGAGAAAACAATTTGTGAACGACTGCTTACTTACATGTATTAAAAACAGAAAAGCCACGTTTGGAAACATTAAGAAACTCTCCAAAGATAGTTTCTCTACAAGTAAAAAAAATAAACAAAGACATGTTTGGATTGCTCATAGACCTCAAAAATAGCTTCTCATGAAAAGAAAAAAACAAACAGAAAAAGACACGTTTGGATAGCTCATCTAAACTCATCAAAATAGTTCATCAAAAGTAAAACAGAAGAAAAATTCGGAATATAGTTTCAGTTGAGAAAAAGAGAAAAAAATTAAATGATCAAAGAACTTTCCAAAGAAATTTTTATTAAAAGAAAAAGAAACGTTTGGAATACTCAAAGAAATTCCTCTATGATAGTTTCCCAAGGAGAAAGATTTAAAAATACAAGCTTGAAAACTTAATTACAGGGGAAAAACAGGTTTGGAATACTCAAAAAGACTCTTCAACGATAGTTTCACAAACAAAAAGTTTAATATTTGATTTGTTGACAGAGGATGAGACACTAATGGTGTCAGACGCAACATGTATATCAGTGTTACAATGAGCCACAAGATAGTAAAAAAGTAATTAAAATGATCAATGTAAAAAATGTTAAGGATATTATATTCTTCTTGAATACAATAAGAGAAGATTGTATATTGTAATATTGGAATGATTGAACCCACAAACCTGTTAAATGATGATTTTAAGAGTGATCTGAGAACTTTTTCGAGAAAAGTAACTTTTTATACCCCCCGCTTGAAAAGCGGGAGGGTATATAGTAATCGTTAATTCCGTCCGTCCGTCCGTCTGTACGTCCGTCCGTCCGTCCGTCTGTTACGCTTTGGGGTACCCATCTCTTATCCTCAACTCCTCTTAAACCACTGAGTGAAATTTAATGAAACTTTCACAGAATCTTTATTACATATTGCCATTGTGCACCTCCTATTTTATTTTTTGATCCGACACATATTTTGGGTTTCCCGGCCACCGCAAAACATGCACTTTGCCATTATAATCATATGGGAGGCGGGGGGTATCATTTAGTGAGCTCATTGCTCACAGTACCTCTAGTTGATATTATCTTAATGATTGTTATTAAACGTTATTGCTCTACAGAAATATCGAATTGAAAGTCCATACGGTGAATACTAACTCCCTTTCTCTGCAACACGTTTTCCATTCATTTGTTTATGAATATTTTTTGCAATATTTTGTACATTCAAATCATATTGAATTTCTATCATAAACCTTTGCTGTATTTCAATAAAGTTTTCCCACAGGGTAATTGATTCGTATTGCACGCTCCTTGTACCATCAGTACCAAGAACAAAAAAGTACCCACATAAAATAATTAGGAAAAAGGTAGGACACTTTGACATATTGACACACCAGACCCTTAAGCACTGTGTGTAAACGATATTAAGACTTGAGTGCATGCCACTTTCGTTGAAATATTAAAATTTTGTCATGGATTTAGTACGGTGCATCCCTGCTTTGGTTTTATTATTTTTGGGCAATGTAATACCAAATGTGGCTTCAGTTAGAATGTGGGATAGAGCCACTGTTGTTTGTGATACTAATGGCAAAAAGCAGTAAGTTTTTTTGTGTGAAGGCAAACTAATTATACCCCCCGCTTGAAAAGCGGGAGGGTATATAGTAATCGTTAATTCCGTCCGTCCGTCCGTCTGTTACGCTTTAGGGTACCTATCTCTTATCCGCAACTCCTCTTATACCACTGAGTGAAATTTAATGAAACTTTCACAGAATCTTTATTACATAATGCCATTGTGCACCTCCTATTTTACTTTTTGATCTGACACATATTTTGGGTTTCCCGGCCAAGGCAAATCATGGACTTTGTCATCAGTTATAACCATATGGGAGGCGGAGGGTATCATTTAGTGAGCTCATTGCTCACAGTACCTCTAGTTTTAGTAGTATTCCTTGCAATGCATTCGCTAACTGAAATTTAAGATTAAAGTTCAAGTCACTGTTTTTGGGATACAGTAAGGTTTTTGTAAAGACAGACGAGGTTTAGAGAGAATGTTTCGATACAGAAGGAAAATTCATGTTTTCAAGTAGGATTTAATCAGAGGAAATTAACTTAAACTTACACATCCTTTACCAAACGTTGGAAATAAGACATCATCTGATAAACATCTGAATTCCACAGAACTTCTGTTTATTTAGATACTGAGGGTCCTTTAATAATGTGCATAGACTCATTTCCAATATTTATTTAAATCAGATCCTTAATCAATTTGATAGCAGCGTATAAGTAATAAATGCCTTTTAGCTTACGACATCAAATGGCGATTCATGCAATTTTCAAGTTCATAAATTATAATTACAAAATTCTTAAAGTGGTTCCACTAACGTCCATTAAAGTCTCATAGAGATCTTATCAGGAAATAGGGATAATGATTATCATTAAAGATTTAATATAAATATCAATATCTCTAATTGTATGACCTCTAATGTTTTCATTTTATATGCCTATGATTTTCTTATAGTGTGGTCGAGGAAAATTCTGATCGAGTTGTAAATTTAGATGCCAACTGTCAGTCGGGAGAAATAGCTTGGAGACTCAGCACGACCTATGTGTATCTGAGATTCCGAAAACCCTCTGCATTTAAGGTTTGCTTTAGTAGCAATGCCATACCAAGTTTGGAAAAATACAGCGTTTACAAGATGTCAAGTGGATCTCCAGTTTATTCAGGAAGTCCAAACCAAGGTAATTAAAAAAAGGACGAGATTTTGAATTTAATAAGGAGCTGTCAGTAAAACTGATCCTTGGTGCATTTTCAAAATAAAGCAAATTAGGGAATTCATATAAATGGGTTGATCAAAGTATAAATTCTCTCAACTATTTGAATTTGATTTGATATATATATTTACTTTGCCTGAATCTTAATTCACACACAAAAAAAATCTTACGAATAAGATAAAAAAAATTAAAAAAAGATGACAACTCCGTAATTTTTAGATTTAATTATTTTTTTGATAAAAATTAAACACATGTGTCGTGCAACCTACAACAGCTTTAAGACTTGTTAAGAAATGATTATCGATATTTTGTATTCTTGTAAATTCTAAGGAGATCGTAAAAGATTGCAATAAGTATGATCTTTACATCTTTTAAAAATGCGAATGAAGTTTTATTTTAAAAGGAACACATTTTGAAAGAAGCAATCATTTGTTAATATTTTAAGAATAAAGATTCTGTAGCACTCTTCATCGTTTAATAATAGAGAATTACTTCTATATTCAAGAAAAATGGCAGAAATCCTGTAATGTCGAAGTTTAGAAGATGTTTTAAAATTAAATCTTTTGTAGCAATATGAGCTGCAACTTTGACTTGGAAAATTTTGTTGCAAATTTATAATTAACTATTTCAATGACAAAAAATAAAACGTTTATAAACTTCTGTTGTTCATACTTGTGATGGAAGAACTATTTATAAGCTTTGATTGAAGCAAAATTACATTGTTGTCGTCCTGTTCAATATTGATTTCTTAAATAATTCTATAAATTCGATTTGTTTCCCCTGAAACAATTTAATAATTTTGTTGGTCCTATTGATCATACAGGTTTAAATTAAATATAAATTAATCATAATAACACATTTTAACAGCAAAATAAAATTCTCAAAAATGCAGTTCATATTGCGTTAAAGACTGACATTGTCATGATTTATGTCATGTTTGCATTGATTTTTGCCATGTTTGCACTGATTTAATTTTAGATGGTGACATTTGTGTGATGTCCTCGGGGTTTAACCTTGACATAGCACTGGAGGCTTTGGATACTTTTTATGTATTAACAGCCAAATTTAAAGTCAACTGTGTCTAATTTTGATAAATCTTTGTAGGAAATATAAATAAACCTATAAAGGTAGTTCGTTTGCTTTTTTTCTTTAAATTAGGCTTTGTTTACGTTTTTACTTTTACATGATTTCTCTATAACCACCATGTCGGGTAATTTAAGAGGAAATACTTGTTTATGAGAGACACGTGACGTCACAAGGTGTGGCTTTTGCGTACAATAAATCTCGCGGGAGAGGAAAAACCAAATTACATATGTATGAGGTATAACTGTTTAAAAAAATCTTGTTATTAAGGAAATAACCAGTCCATTAACACGAGTTACCGGGTAGTTATCACTTCAATGTGATTGAAAAAAATACACTCTTACTGGTTTCAAAATGGTGTTTAACCAGTTACTTCTCTTTTTACAGTAAGATTAAAAGCTTGGAATACAGCTGAGAAAAGATTGATCGTACAATATATTTTTTTCTTTTTATACAATCATACCTCACTGTGAACACAAACAGAGGCTTTCTCATATCATGGGCAACTGCTCTTTTAATGAAACATATGCAGATAACGAACAGTATTCAAGCTCAAAAGTCCATAAAACAAAACAAAATAGGAGCAGAACAATCACGGATCTCCAAAACATCAGAGGTGGGATTAGGTGCCATTGAGGAGTGGGCACACCCGCCCGCCGTGTGCTCCTTGTCATGATCGGGAAATTACTGGAAAATCCGTCGTCAATTCAGTTTGTAATTAATGGCCTAACAATTAGTGTGGAAAAAGTCAGTCAGACTATTTGACTTTTAAAATGATAAAATGTATTTGCTGACAAGGTAATTGTATCAATACAATGAAGTCGTAAATTTTGTTGTAGTGATCGGGATTGGTTATCAAGAAAATTGCTAAAATTGTTAAAAAATTACTCTGGTTCTTTACATAAGTTCTCTGGAGATGATATTTAAAGGTTGCTGGAGTTCCTCATTGTGTTATTATGTATATAGTCTTCGGTGTCTTCCAACAAAGTGTTGGCCTTCAGAAGGCGGACTAATCACTAAACTGTTTTTATATTTTTGTGATGCAGAATTTACTCAAAACATTTCCACATGAAAGAATTTATACTATATCGTCGATGTTTTATCAATCACCATGCATATTTGGATGTTTTATTGACTATAGACGAAAAGGGCCAACTCACAACTAAATTATTTAACAATGTACTGATATATCCCTCTGTCACCTACATATGGTGTTTTAATCTTCCTCCCAACTAATTAGATACTCTGGAGTTTCCTTCGAGTACGGCCACTCTGAACGTTAAGCAGGTATCTGACAGATAAGGTGATGTTATAGGATTTTCAGCAAACCTGTCTTAAGCCGGTATTTCGAAAATGCTATGGTGGTTATATGACCTTGTTATCAACTACATGTATTACCTTAGACTAACATTACGTCGTATTTTGAACGACGTTTTTCGTACAAATTACTGGGTTTTTATTTTTTTGTTACTGAATTTGACTTCGGAATGTTCTGTCTACTTAAACCATAAAGAGGTTCAGGGCGGATGTCACCCGTCAACTTACTTAGCCTAAGCACCCTAACCTTTGCAATTTCCAGGGGTCCATATTTTATGTGTTTTTGACATTTCTATCATTGTTCAATATCTGTACTTTTTCATTACTTTTAATTGAGGACATTTTGGTAAATTAAAGCTTCTAGTCATTCTAAGCGTGAATTAGGATTTTCGGTTATGATGTTGCACTTGCACGACGTTCAAAGTTTTTTATGTCAAAGTAAAAGACATGATTTACCTTTTGAACCCATTCCCCGTATTATGGTGTTTTGAATGCCGTAGATTTCCATGCAATTCATTGGCAAAATACCCATTGAATGACAATGAAACATGCCCAAGTTCAAATTCGATTTAAACAATGGAAATTAGAAAGCAGAGCAAACACAGACCTCTAAGACATCAGAGGTTGGATCAGGTAGAAAAGTAAATGTTTTTGCCGACCGGATACACCCGTCAAGTGCTCCTTGTCATGATAAAAAAAAACATGAAAATATCCTTTTAAGTTGTAAATAACATCGGAGTTAAAATGAAAAAAGTCAATCAACAATACAATTGACTTAATGCTAGTATTTTCCTACAAGTGCATGGTATCGACCATAAAACGTACGAAATGATGCCTTAATGAGACTGTTGAACAGATATTTTGTTGCATAAGCTTTTTTTGTCAACAAAAACTTATCTGGTTTTAGAAATTGTTTAATTGTTAAGCGTGTTCTAGCGTATCGAATCAACTGAGAGCTATAAACCCCGTGTGCAGGTGAAAAAATATATTGGTACATACTTGAAAGTTAGGAAGGTTGCCAATTGAAAAGTTGACGTCATAATATATATCATAATCTTTGTTATTAGATAACAGTTAACGTCTTTTTCTAGTAAAATATCCAAATATTTAAGAAATATTTTAAAATTAGATGTGTCAATCTCTATGGTATCTAGAATTTTAAGCTAACCGTGATATATCGCGTCGATATATATTATTCACAATTTGTTAATTGTATTCCAGTATAGGATAACGGCGAGATACTTTTGATCTGGCGCCGCGTATCCTCTGGCATCCATTGTAAAAAAAAAATCACAGTAATAGTTCTAGTATTTATGAAACATTAAATAAGGCCAGTTAACAAAAAACTGTTGAGCTCACCAGTACGTCCAACTTACTAGAAACGTGCTTCAAAATATTTGCTCCAAGGGTTTAATTAATGTACTAACACGTAAAAAATAAAACAAACTGGAATGCAATATCGTTTATTTTCTTTATAAAAAGTAAACATAAAAATAAACATAAGGCGAAAATAGGTCCTATCACAATAAAATATTCTGCTAATTCTTCAGGAAAGCACTTGCACTAAAGACCGCTTTGTAGATTGAGACATCAGATTGGAGACTAACTGAGACATGCTTTGGCGCGTCATTGTGGTATAGCTAATTGACTTCCGGTCATGTGACAGGATGGGTCACCGGGAGCGTTGTTTCCAGACTGCTTCAGGTCGTCTGGTTCATTCAGTGTCCATCGACACGGCAGCTCAGGAATTGCAGTGGACAGTAAACTTAGCTCTCATGACGTAAAAGGATTTTTTGGCCTGCACTATTATGTCCAACCTATTTCCAATGGAATTAATACAGGTCTTTTTGTCTGCAAAGAGGAAACACAAAGATCATTACAAACTGTGACCTATATGAAATATGATGGATTTATTGTGTTTCGTTGCGGTAGAGTAATCCATGACCTAGCTCAATCTACACATTCTATTACAGCAAATGAAAGGTAAATATTTCCAAATATGAATAAACAGCGGTATTCCATGCAATTAGATATCATAAAAGACGTTTTTAAAAATAAAACTTTAACTTTATTTCAATAAATTAAAACAATACTTACACATATTGGGACTTCCGGCGTACATATTTCCAAAAGAAGCATTGAAAACGTGATATTTCTCGTAATTGACAGGCGTGTTACTGCTGAAACACACTGTGAATGGCTTAGGTCTCCAAAACCGGAGGGCGACGTAAGATTGGGTCATTCTCCAGGCTACTTCTCCTTGATCACAAGTCGGAGGGACCAGAAAATATCGATTGGAGTCCTCCTCTAGTACACTACAATAAAAATAATCTGCTATTAAACGAAAAAGAAGAAAGATATTGAAGAGCTAAGCATTTAGTTAAATATTTAGACTTAAAAAAAATTATGCATACAAAGCAATTTTCCCGTTTACTAGGATATTGTTATTTATATATTTTGTTCTATATGAATTTATTCATAATTTAAAAACAATCAATTAAGCCTTTTAGAAACGCAAAAAATCTGGAAATGTCTCATAAAGGTGTTTTATAACCATCAGTCAATATATTTTATCTTTGTAAGAAAGTATACCATAATTAATATTCCTGGTAATTTAGAGCTTTACTTTAGGAGAAATTAGGCTACCCAGAAATTGATACGATATCTTCAGAATCTGCAATCAAGAGCTTTTGAATTAAATTAAAACAACTCACTGTTTTCCAGAAATAGCAGCACAGACAAGAGAAGCACGGTCCCACAACGGCACAGACAGACATACTGGAAGAATAAATATAAGAAAACCAGGAACAAGGACACGGCTAGCTTCCATTATTTCAGTTATAGTAACTATAGTACTAAGAGATGTTTCTCTTTTGTTGCAAAAAAAGTTTTGAAGATTTTTCAGTGCAGGCCACATTATTTAAGATTTTCTACGTCACAGTGACCGAATCACGTGGGTTATATTAAGGACTGCCCCTATGGAGGTGTATTATCGTTAACTCAGAAAACATAAATAATAAAAACGAATAGGTCATGTTGTTGTGCGCTAAGAAGTTGTCATCACGCACACATTTCACATTAAATTGTGAAACGTCAGTCTAAGAATGTCAATTTATGAATACATTATCGTGATTTAACTGTTTGTATGTAACAAGGCTACGAGATGAAAGAGTCGTGTGCAGCGGTTATTTTCCAGAAATTATCAAGATTTATATCAAATTGTATTAGAAGTGTTAACAAATCAAACTTAAGTGTTTTTTTTTTTATTATTTTATTTCAATTACTTGTTTAAAGCATTTTACTTTATTAAATACATATTTTTATTCAATTTAAGTTTATGAAAAGTTTATATTAAAAAAATAATAATGATAGATGATCGAAAATCATAAATGGTTATTAAGAAACATATGGAGATAACGAACAGTCTTTAAAAATTTAGACCATCTTTAAAAAAAATGATTGCCCTTTCCCGACCACTGGCTAAAAAAGGCCCGACTCTAAACTTTTTTTAACCTCTAAGAAGCAATTATTTTTTATGTACTCTGGAGAACAGAATTTAAAAAATTGGCATTGAAATTGAAATTTTCTGAGAAAAATATTTTTTTAACTAACCTACCGACCCAATTTTTTTCATACAGAGTTGGAAGAGGGCAACCAAATTATTTTCTAAATGTGGTCTGAGATGAAACTGTTATATTTATAAGATCCCATCACTGATGTTTTGGAGGTCTGTGTTTGCGCTGCTCATATTTTGTTTTGTTTTATGGACTTTTGAGCTTGAATTCTATTCGTTATCTGCATATATTTCTCAGTATTAACTAATTCTAATTATCTCATCAGGACAATTTTATATATTTCTGAGAGACTTCAACACACACAAAAAAAATTGTATTTCGAAGAAATATATTAATGTTGTCTGCAAATAGCTGGAATAGCTAGCAGCAATTTTAACTTCACCAACAAAGTAATTTATTTTTAAAATGCTGTCATTTACAACATTACATAAGTTTTCATAGTCTTGTGTTCAAAATTAAAAGCTTTTTGTAATTAAGCATCGTTTAAGAAAAATAAAACATTAATCAAGAAAAGTATCATATTAAATGTGACATTATCTTCATTATGTAGCCAGCATGGTTTAAGCAATGTAAGCAGAATGGGATTGGACAATATTGGATATCAATGTAGGTAATTTCTAGGGATGTCAACGAATTTTCGAATATTCGGCTCAATATTCGAATATAAATATATGATTCGAATAATGTAAAGTATACAAGCATTTAACAGAGAAAAAATCTTGCAAGTTTTATTTGAAATTGAACCAAATTGGACTAGGAATAATATTTGAATATAAAAGAAATTAAAAGACACTCCTGTTGGATTACTTTAAAAGTGTGAAGAGTGTATCTATTAGAATAAATTATTCTTTGATCATTTAATTATTGGTATATAAAGTACTTGCAATCAGTTTGTATTGTTTAAGAACGCAGCTGTACAGAAAACACATTGATCCCTTGTTTAGGTATATATCATTAAAATGATTATCAGGAAATTAATTAGCTAAAATTAGTTGAATTTAGTTTTTCTTCAGTAAATAATTATTAAGCGTGGTATAAATTTGTAGGAGTAATATGCTTTGGTACATTGTAAGACGATCAATTAATGGAACAAATAAGAATTTTTGAATTTTCAAAAACAATTTTTTATTACATTTTGGATTTACATGTATTTACTCTTCATATACTCTGTATAATTTTAAAAATATAATTACTTTGCATTTACAAAACTCTACTTGAAATTTTATTCCAAAATAATGACATAAAACCTATACTGGTTGACAAAAGAGTGAAGTTGTATTATGCAAGATGTATTTATTTTATCGAATAGAATATATTAAAGAATATTCGAATATCAATTATTGACAATTTTGACATCCCTAGTAATTTCCATAAAAACATATTTGCACGGCTCATCAACTTGAATCATAATGTGTCTGAAACAATCAGCTTTTTGTAAAGTTGAAGATAGAGGAATGCATGAAATCACTATTTTTTGTTTTGTTTATATGGGAATAATATAATTTAAGAAATGTTTAGAAAGTCATTCATTGCTTGATATGCAACGTTAAGTCATTACAAATAAAATTTACAGCTTGGTATGATGCACAATTTTTGTCAATGTGACATTTAAGCTCATTTAAAGAATTATGCATAGATTTAAAACTGACAGCTATAGTCTTTGTTGAGTCTGACAATCCCTGGTGTTGTGTTGTTTGATATGACTGCACAAATCATAAACACATTTATACAATTATGTCGTGGTTGGTTCAGTTAAACATCAATGACATAAAATTTGACAATGTACATGTTTAATATTTGTTTTGCATGTGTGTTTGTGTGTTTTTCAAATGGATGGTATTCATAAAGAAACGTATCTGATATCGTGAAACTGTGATTATGAAATTGTTGAAAATGCTATTAATATGCTTTTGAATTTTTTTTAAGTGCAATAAAAAATGACAAAAATAGCAATCTTATTTGTTTTTATAGCTCTATGAATTAGTCCCACCCAAATGAACCATTGAAACGAAGTATATGAGGCTGTAATAGCCAGACAAAGTAATTGATGGAACTATTTAAAATACATACTAGTAAATATATTATACATCCTGTCATATTTATTCTAACCTGAATCGAAGACTCAGGTGAGCTTTTCGGATCAAAATTTGTCTGTTTTCTGTCGTTGTCGTCATTTTTTTTACACGTTCATTTCTTCTCCAGAATAACTTTTAACCATATTAGCACAAAGTTGCCTTTGGTAAAGAAAATTCAAATTTGCTCAAATGAAGGTACCTGCTCTTCCAAGGGGAGATCATGAAGAAAAAGTAAGGTGGGTAAAATTTATTTTAAAAATTTTCTCAAGCACCACGGAAGCTGGTGTAAATCGAAATTAATTGAAATCATGGCTTTGGGGTCCAGGTTTGGCTACAGTACAAAGTGCAGACAAATGTTAATAAAGCTACTAGCAATATGAAATAAAGGATGGAGAACATGAAAGATCATAGTTTCTCGAATGAACGTTGTGGCTCGTGAGTCTCAGAATAAAATCACTGTATTTATGAAAACAAATTTAACAGCTTTCTCTTTATGTTTTAGATCATGTGCCACAAAATCATTTCTGTCTTATTTATGTGGTCAAACTGTAAAACATGAAAGTTTGTTCAATTTAACATTATATACTATATGTGTATATTCTTTCATGCCACACAATTCACAATTGAGATTTGTTATATTGACTTATTTCTTTAAGATATAAATATTTTTAATATTAACACATCAGAGCTTTATCTTTTGAATAAAACAATACCTTTTAACTTGTTTTTTTCCTAGAGATTTTTTAGGGTAAAAGTGAGGTCTATAACAAAACTAGACGAAACTGTGATTTACGTTAACTTTGACAAAAAAACCTGACATTTTAACTTGTTTTTTTCCTCTATAACAAAACAGCCCAAAAAAACCCTTTAACATACGCATATGGTTTTGTATAACCTTCATTTTTTCTTTTTTAAAGTTACAAGTACTGGACAGGCAAAAAAAACACTTAATCCTTACTTTTTATTGAGAATAATTTTCCAAGTAATGAGGCTTAGACATATGCAAGTGGTAATTAATCGTTTTTATTTATGTAATGTTTTCAGCTTGATGCGAAGAGATGAAATAAATCATTCTTTAAACTTTAATGTATATATATTAAACATGCATGGCATTGGGCTCCAGAAAAGTTCACAAGATGATTTCGTAGAATATATCGCACATACATAAAATAACAGTTATACTTTAGCAGATGAAATCGTATTTTAGTATTAAAAATTATGAAAATTTAGAAATTAAATCCGAAAGACACATAAGATATTCTGCAAAATCCCCTTAACAATTGCATCATTTTCAAAAAGTCTTTGTATAATGTTCCAAGGTTACATATATGCTTCAGAATTGTGCGGTAATGAACTAAAATCCTGAAACAATATGCAGCATGTATCATAACTTTACAATTCAAAATGAATTTTTAAATACATTTTATTGTAAATAACAGTATAATTATTATATGATAAAATAGAATAATCTCAAAACATGACATATTATCGACAGTCAAACTTTTGCAAGTTTGGAAGATCACATTTTGAGGGTCGTTTAAAAATTAAGCAAGGGTCGTTTAAAAACTAAGCAATTCTCAAAATGAATTATTGTTTATGTATTTTGAATAATGTTTGCTATATTTGACGGAATCTTTTTTAAACAAGAAAGCGACTACAATTTGATTATATCTCTTAATGTTCTTTATACATGTGCACGAATACGTTATATTTTATAAAGTGGTTTCTTTATTTCGCGAAAGGTTCCAACTTCTTTCTGTACTAAATTTTATTCGTATACAGTACATGTACCCCTTTATGTTACAGATTCCACTTTAAAAATCTAATTGATGAAGGCAATGGGGAATATCTCTTGGATTAAAACATGATTGTGAGGTAAACCTTCTGTTAGTATTGTTCATTCTGTAGCTTAATGTTGAGCTAACTATCCAAACACTAAACAACCTTTTAATTTACCTGTAAGTGTCCATTCTTTTTGGAAAACTGTCCATTCTTTTTAATAATTACATACATTTAATAACAGAATTTGGCATGCCTTGAAACCATTTTCCCATCGGTAAATAAAGATAAAGGGTTTGGTCATAGTTCTTTTCGTCCATCCAATGCATATGATTGATTGCTTTACGCCGAATCGGCAATATTTTGACCATATCTCTGCCGTAAAGGCTAAATCATATAGCAGGTTTTTGTTAAAAGTTTTGAACTTTTCGGCTTCTAGTGCATATGCATCAATTAGTTGTCCGAATAGCTTTGAATTATGGCATAATTATGTTATGTTTATTCCAATTTCCATTTAAGTTGACGTTTAAAGACTTTAATATTTATAGGGTCAAATCCTTGCCTAACACGGCTATAATAAACGCCCGAGTTCATTTAATTTTGGTCCAAAATAACTCAATGGTTATTCATCTTAATAATATATATGTACTTTTTATTAAATTTAAAACAATTTCAAAATGGTGACATGTCATTTTTATAACAAATTCAAAATATTTATACCTTTAAATGCACCGACAAGTATAAAAAAATGTAATATTTGTGTATATATTTTTCATATATTTTTGTTAAAAGTGACATATAAGTCCGATGAGTCGGGTGTTTGGATATTAATTGTATTAAATGTTTCTTATTGTTTTGTATAACACATGTTTACTTATATGTACTTTATTAAAACTATCAAAATGGTGACACATTTTTATATTGTAAATTAGAATGAGTGTATCATTTAGTCATACTATATAATTCTGAACATTTAAAATATAAAAAAAGAACTAAACGCCAAAAAAAATGAATATCAAATAATGTTCAATTGTTTAAACTAAAGTTTATCAGTCTTCGTTAATTTGTTTCCTTTATGGCTCATTTCCCATTATGCTGGAATTGTAACATTTTGAAAATGGTGCAAGAGAATTGATATTAAGTGCATTGGTACCGCACGTTCACTCTCTGAATCATTAAAAAATAGAATTACTTTACTAACTTTTAAAAGTACACATCCTGGTAGACATCTTCATGGTAGGTACTCCCCCATATTCTGTATAGCAAGGTCAAGTGGTCTGACGGTGATGAGTAAGTAATTAATGGAGTGTCATTAGTGCTTATGAACCAAACGCCTTCAGCGGACAGGAAGCAATAATACATTCATAAAAAATATAACAGATTTTTATCCTATGTGTGGACTGCGAGAGACAATATTGTGGTCATAGTATAGTCAGTGTCAGGAAATGGGACTGGACATTTTTGCAGTGTTAAATGATAAAGAAATGCTCTTGTACATATGATTTTCTGTATATTGAGATGCCTTGGGTTAGTAGTTTAACATCAATTTGCTTTTACTAGCTTTAATTGTGGTCAATTGGAGAAAAATGCATCATTTTTTTCCTTTGTAACATATTTTTGAAAGTGAAAAAACAGTCTGTTTGACGAACGTTTTAGACTGGATAAAAAATCCTTAATAGGCACACATCTTTTGCTTTTGAGTAATTGACAATTTTCAGTAGTTCATATATTTATAAATGAACCCAGAAGAATTCATTAAAGTTTTAATCTATTTATGACATTTGCCAATATTTCTCACTTTCTAAATCCTACTATTATGAAAATTATATTACAGTGTACCTTGATGAACATGATGAGACAATATTTTGAGTCGACAGAATGATACAAGTGAAAATAACGATCTAAAACCTACATGCCACAGCATTCTGTAAATAGAACATGAAACACGGATCTCTGAAAATTCAAGACATAGGATTAGGTGTCTAAGAGAATTCAGCGTCTCTGTCACCCTATTTGCTTTGAACCCAATGCAATGATCAGATATATTGAATATTCTGTAGTCAAAAGTGTAAAACAAATGCATAACAATTTGTATGATAAATGTCAGCCCAAATACGAGCAAATGACTGCCGTTTTCGTGTGAATGTTTAAGCACGGTCATTATAAAGACCAACCAATTTATGAAGTATTGAGTTTATTAAAATACCTGTACCATCAACTTATCTGACTGTAGTTTGTTTCAGTTAAAACATTCTTACTCAGATGGTGCTCATTGGAATGAAAAATGTTGAGAAGCGTAAACACCATATGCAGATAAGCCATTTAAAAAATGTTTGATTGCCCTTTCCCGACCGAGTGACAGAACTTTTTTCACATCCCAGGACACGAAATTTATTTCCTTTTCATCTCTCTTATCCCGTCAAGAAAAAAAAGATTTCCTCACCTACCTACCAACCCAATATTTCTTTTCTAAGTCGGAAGAGGGCAAACAAAACATTATTTTAAAGATGGCCAAATTGTGGGATTCTGCTATATCAAAAGGAAAGTTGACAATGTAAAAGTTGAAGCCCTCTGGTTTGTTAATCAATCCTTTCTTGTATTACAAATTTTTTTGAATAGATTCATTTCTAGATAGAATAATTAAAAGATATGAAGGAATTTCACATAGTTTGTTAAATAATACTAGTAATTAATATCATATAAATAGCTTTGGTATCTTTATTAGATAAAACACAAAGAAGGTCATCACCTTGCAAATCAAAAGGACATTTTACATCGCATTTCCAGTTATCTACAACCATAAATGTACATCATACATTCATTTAAACAGACATTGATATTATAAATATCTTAATTAACTAACATGTGACAGACATTTAGTTGACCCATTGAAAGTTCCATATCTAATTAAGATTTGATTTAAAGGCACGAACTTCTTTGACTGCTTTCTAAATCAAGAAACACTTAACCACGTGTTTAATTGCCTAAATATATCAAACTTGATTCAAACATTAAAATTACTTGAATGGAAAAGGCATAAAGCAACTTATTTTTTTTTACCGTTTCACGCTCTTTTTCTGAGATTGCTTGAAAATATACATACCTATTATCAGGTCGTATTTTGGCTGATTGTTTCAAACCTATTGTTACATGTAGGCCTTTGTTTTTAAATGAATTCGACTAAAAATGTTCCGTCAACCTGATCATTACATTGAGCTTACGGCGGATATGACCGGTCAGCAGGAGATGTTTACTCCTCCTGGGCACCCGATCCCACCTATGAAATTCTCAGTGATCCAGGTTTTATGATTTCTTCACAGATTTATAACGTTTATAGATTTTTTAGATCGATTTCTGTCATTAACCAATTCCCCTTTTTTAAATATAAGATATTTAAATATAAAGAATTATAATTACAATAAAAATAATAATGTTGTATCTTCACATTCTTGTACATCGTTAAAATATGTCATTTAATAAGATGTTTCTAATAAATGAAACTTTAAAATATTTAGGAAAAACAATATTTAAGCATGCATTATCGATCGACTCTCACTTCATACGAGTAAGATTAATTGCTTCCATAACTTCAGTCAATCTTTCTAATAAACTGATAACATTGATAAATGATATCAATCTTTCGCATAAACAATAACTTACTAAATTTAAGAAATTACGTGAATCAGAGTAATAAAGAAATGAAATAAAAAAAAGACCTTTTACAAGGGAACTTACGGCTAAGACAAAAATTTAATCTGCATATAACTTTCGGTTTACAATATTTCATTGGAAAGGCTTTTGAAATTTTGAAATTTTAATTAGAAGCATTCATTTTGCAAAATTTTATAAACAGCCTAAGACTTTGGTCTAAATGTCCTCGTTTTTTTGTAAAACAGGACCCTGCTCTGCTTAGAAAGAAAGTTCAGCTACTAGATCACATCAATAGAGAACATACAGTGATTTTGTTTTCGTTGCATCGAAGTGTCTTTCACTAATTAGCAATTTTCAATTGCCAATGAGTACAGAAGTACTAGTAGTTTGGGGTTCCAACCCAACCAATTTTGCAAGAAAAAAACGTTACCAGCAAATGAAAAATATTCTAGAACTGTTCTTATCAGATTGAATGGAGTTTATGAAATCCAGAATGATTTATTGACAAACATAACCTGAAAAATAAATCGTTTTATTTACGCTTATAATATTTTTGCTAGCTTTGTTTATATGTTTAAACAAAGAATGTATAGACGGAAAGATCCTCGATTTTTGCGCTTGACGACCTTTACCTTTTATCGTCTGCCGTATAAAATTGCTCACCCACGCGACCTGTCCGAGGAGTGAAAATTATAATTCAGTCACGATTTATTTACTCATTCGTACGTTTGCGTCTGTATTTACTCTCGATATGTTTTGAAATTTTGAAAATGACGCGTTCGAAAAGGTATATAAATATGTTCTTGTATGTTATTCCATCATTCTCTCAAGATACATTCTTCGATATAGGAATACCTGAATAGAAATATTCTTACAGCCATGTCCACATTATCTATTTCTACAGTCTTTGCTCTTCTTGCATTGTCTCATATAAACGCTATTTTTGCCGTCACTATCTGGGATCGAGCCAATCTTGTATGTAAAAATATGGATGGAAAACAGTAAGTATCAAATCAAATTTAGATATCAATTTATTCATTTAAAATATTAGCATAATTGCAGAATTATTAATTAAAGTGATATGAAAATTCAATTGAATTGTGATAATTTTTGTCCATATTGATTCTGCTTAATATTCAAATTCAATGTTTTGGTAGATTTCATTTATTAGGAAAGTACCAAAAATAAATTTTGATTTTATAAAAGTAGGTTATTAGGTTTTAATGGTTGGTACAGAGGAACATTATTAAATTATGTTTCAGACTTAATGATTAAGAAAGAACAATTTATTATAAAACGTGACAATACTGATATACTTAATTAATAATTGAAATAAAATCATAAATATATACTATTTCTCTTGGTTCAACTCTTATGAATGAATAAATTATTTACCCTATAGATAAATAAATTTTAATTGTTTGAAACAAGACTATAAAATTTTATCATCACTAAATTTTTGAGGTTTTTTTTCAGAATAATAGACAAGGATTCATACCGCAGCCTATACGTGGATTCTGCATGTTCCTCTGGAGAAATAGAATGGCGCATGACCAGAACAATAGTAACCTTGCACTTTCGAAAACCTTCGGCTTTTACTGTGTGTTTCAGCAGCAAAGCACCCGTGGGTTACGAAAAATTTAGTGTCTACGATATCCAATTTAATAACTTGTTCGTTGGAAGTCCAAATATTGGTAAGATTTCGTTTAAAAAGTTATTGTCGAAAATGTTCCACTTTAAAAAGTATTTTTAAAAACTAGAATGTATCTCTCGTTTTTCTAAAACAGATTAAAAAAATATTCATAATAATTGCAATGTTACATTAAGTCTGTGCTATAAAAAATGTGATAGATATTTTTGAAGGTATATCATTAACGTAATTTGTTAATCTTCTTGTATTTTACTTGTAGAAACGGAAGTGTGTTTAAACTCCATTGGAAACGTTTTGGACGTGAATTTGCTATCCCTGAGAAAATACTTCATCACGAAAGCCTACTTCAAAGTGAGCTGTACCTCTTGATGAAATAGAAACATAAGAACTCATAATTATATCCGTCCAAAAGCCGTCCATGCCAATGACCATAAATGTTTACCTTGCACGTTCCGCGCTATTAACATTTTATAAAGGCTTGGAAAAAAACTTGTGTACGACGACCAAGATTAATGGTGCTCATTCTGACCATACTTTCTTCAGATTGGTTCACTATGCGAATGATCCCTCCATCGCAAACAGTCAGTCTGTGTACTACAAAATAGCTTAATGTAAAAGTGACAGAGAATTTTGTTAACAAACACCAAACTGGTCTCTACAATCAGTAGTTAACAAATGATCTCAATGTGTATTCCATAATGTCGTGAATTCTACATATTTTTTTCCTTTATAGTCTACAGTGTATTTACAATTCAAAACAATGCTTACAATATATTTTTGTAATTTTTAAAATAAAATAACTTGTATACTTATATACTTGTTTTTCATTTCTTATATGTTTTTTTCTTCAATGAAGATATTAATATGCCTTATCTATCAAGAAATAATATCTTAACTCACAATCACATTCGAATATTTCACGCAGGAAAACAAACTTTTAAATAAACCTGAAGTACTTTCTTTTTTTATAGAAATTTTACATGTGTTTCTTTTGTTCCTGCTGCATGATACAATCCCCTGGAAACTGGTGAGATCAGGTACCTGTGCGTATGATTAATGAAAAATATAGTATTGACAACTTCTGTTTTTAAAAAAAAATTACGTATAAAATCGAAATAATTTCTCAAAAAATGAATGTCTTAGCATTAGGCAGGCCACTGATTTCTCCTCAGGGATATCCAGGGGTCAATTGTATTGTGCCCTCTTCTAAGTATTGTTTTCAACATTTTTTAAAAAATTTGTTCCATATTTGTTATCGTCATCTTTCATTTTTGTGACAAAATAATGAAATTCATCTACATGTTAGTAATACTGTGAAATTTTTAAATAAAAATTTTATACCCACTTCAAATAAATATGATTTAATTATTGCAAAATTATTTTTAAAAAATGATATAAACTCAAAACCAGTTTGCAATATATGTAAAAACATTACAATTGATCTAGAATGTAGCAAACATCTTACATGTATATTGTTTTGATCTTATTCAAATAATTACTATGCATTACAAAACCAAATCTAGACTTTCAATTACTAGATAAGTGAACCTTATTCTGTGTTGAAAATGTCATTTCTTCTCAAATTTGTTTGTTTTTATCTGTAAAATATTTCAAAATTTATTAATTTTTTGCATATTTTATAAACATATGATGTATTTTGAATCTATCATTTGACAAATACCAAAAAAAAAAAACAAAAACAAAAAAAAAAAAAAATAAATAAATAAAAAAATAAAAAAAAAACGGTGTTGAGTATTTTCATGAATTTGATGTATGTGTCCAGTAAAATTATTTTGGCAAAAATAAAATAATAAACACTCAAAATCATCTGAAAAATATATAAAATTTTTGGCGAAATTTCTTAATTGCGTAATGTTTGCTGATATTTTACAAAAGCAACCCCCCCCCCCCCCCCCCATACTATGCTTTAAATGATCTTCATATATTTAGATTGCAAGAAAATATAGCTTTCTGCCTAACCTTTTCGTGCTGAGACACTTCTCATTTGAAGCTTAATGTTCTTTTTAATGTATATCTAATAAGGTTCTACTCCCTGTTCCTCAGGGATCCCAAAGAAATAAGTATAACGATTAAGTTACAGGTGTCAAGTTCTTTACTTTTAATGAAATATATGGAGATCGATAACAACAGTATTCAAGCTCAAAAGTCCATAAAACAATACAAAATAGGAGCAGAGCAAACAAGGACCTCCAATATAGCACAGGTGGGATCAGGTACCATGGAGGAGTGAACATCCCCTGTCGACCGGTCACATCCGCCGTATGCTCCTTGCCATGATCGGGAAATAACGGAAAATCCGTCGTCAAATCAGTGTGTAAATAATTGACTTACAATTAGCATGAAAAATGTCAGTCAGCATTTGACTCAATGATAAATTGTATTTGCTGACAGGGTCATTGAATTGACCTTAGAACTTATGAAATGATGATTTGAATGAGACTGCTGATATTCTTGTTTCACCAACTTGTTTGTCAATAATGTTCCTCGTTTTAGAAATTTTACATACGTAGATCATGCTCTTGCCTATCGAATAAACTGAAAGATATAAAATCAGTATGCAGGTGATGATCAGAAGGTATATTGCTGCATAAGCAAGGGAAGTCCATTATTGAAAAATTATATTTTGATAAATTCATTTTGTATTTCAAACGTCAATGAACATACACATGTTCTCTGTAAATAGACACATGTATTGCCAGGATCAACTGCTGAAAACATTTATCTGACACTTTTCTGATAATTTGCTAAATTTGATTAAGTTTTGTATTATACAATTATTTGTATTAAGATTTGTATTATACAATATATAAAATTTAGCAAAATATTAATAAGTTTTGTCATTTTGTAAATAATAAAATTATAATTGTAAAATTATTGTTGATGTAACAATTAAATATTATGCCAGGATTTCATGGACTATTTCAGATTGAATAAAAATGTAGGATAAGATTTTTAAAACTGATAAATTTTAAATGTTATGGTTTATATTAAAATTATTGAATAATAAGAAAAATTTAAACAATAAAATGCTTTCTTTGTTTGTTATTACAGGAATTAACGGAAGCGGCTGTTGCAGAAAAAATACATAACCTGCGTAAGCGGGAAATAAAATATAATTTATTTTGACAAATAGTCTAAAAACAAAATATATTGTTCAGTCTTTTTAATTGATCATAACACACATATTGCATAACAAGCAAGATTGATTACAGCATTAAGATTGATAAAAAAGAAAATAAACAAAAGTAAAACATCGGACAAAATTCTGTGCTTAGAATACGGTATGGCCAAAACCTTGAATTCGTAAACTATAAACTTTTTATTTACCAAAAATTATATAGATTTGCGAAAATTTTTCAAAAATCATTGCCAATCTTTCGAGAATAAGAAGTCGTATAAAATTTGGTTATCTACAGTAATTCAAGAAGGGTTGACTTTGACAGTTGTAGCCATATATGGCGAGAGCCTCAAAAGTTGTTAGAACGTGTGTGTAAACCATTTGTATCTTATTTATACCATAGAATGTGTTCAAACCATACTCATGAAACAAAACTCAATAGTAAGAAATAATCTAAATATAATTCTGAATACAAAGGGCATTAGAACTCGGCAGTTTTTGTTGAGAAAGACCAAATTTAAAGTAATAGTAAAAGAAAAAAGAACATTTCAATATAATTTTTTTTACAAAGAGGGGGTGGGATGTCAATATGCATGAAATTCCATGTGAATTTGTTGTGTACTAAAACAATGTTTTCAAACGATTGAACAAAGTGTGCGTAAATTAAACTGATAGTTCGATGCCTTGTGCTCGTTTACCTTCATTGTTCATTGTTTCTTCGTTCAAAAAAAATTCACCTGTCTGAGGTGTGAAATTAATAATTATGTCACGATCAACGCGTTTCTGTACCTGTGTGTGTTTTTGTTTACTCGAGATGCATGTTTTGAAAATTTGAAAATGACGCGCGTAAACAGTATAAATATGTTGGTGCATTTTTGTCTCAAAATATTGCTTTTAAACGTTTGCAATTGCATCTAAAACAATAATCGCTTGGTATAATTTATTTTATTTGCCTTTTACAACTATGTTTGCCTTTAAATTTAGTGCCGTTTTGGCATGTTTTGCTGTGTTCCTCATTGGTTCGTCCTCCTCTGTTTCCATCTGGGATCGAGCCAGTCTTCTGTGTGCAAATGTGAATGGAGAACAGTAAGTTTGTATGTTCAGAAGATTAAAAGAATTCAATTTTTGATTCCTTACAATTCATAAAAATTATAAGAATTAATACACTTACTTATCTTATTAATACAACTTTTCGTTATAAATAATCTCATTAAAATTAGCAAACTTGTACGTGTATTTTAAGTAATGTTTCATTAATTTTGAATGAAAAAAGAATTGCTAAAATAAATCTGATTTAATTTTCAATGCAAAAAAATTCTTGAATACATTTAATTTTTAGCACTTTTATTTTAACCTTTTTTATTATTAAAAAAAATGTAGCATAGGCGAAAGTATGGCAAGAATTCTGACTTTTGTGGGGAATCAATGCTACAAAATCCTAAACGGAAATAATTTAATGGATATACATGTGTGGAAAATGGGCAAACCTGTGTCTTTCAATAATACGAGGGGCGTTCAATAAATAATGTCATTAGCTCGATGACATACAACATAGTAGTCATATGACATAAAGCTTGACTTTCTCTCATTATTGAATCTTTAATGAATTTATAACAGTTTATGTGACCACTTTTCATCACATAGTTTCATCGTGAGAAGCTGGGAAACAACTATTTAATTTTAAATGAATGGTAAAGAATCTGTAAACTAGAGTGAAAATAAAAGCTACATTAAAGCTGCTGTAAAACTTATTTTTTCCCAAAGAAATATTCACTGAAATAACATTTGCAAATGCCTGTTTCATAGACAAATTAGCAGGTGGATTTCAAAGATAAAAAATTATATATTGGGCATCAAAAATGGGTACCCTCCTTGCCAACAAAAATTATAACAACTTATGTACTGTTTGCCAAATTTCAACAAATAATATTTGATGTTGTATGATTGACTTTAAGACACATAGCAAATTTGATAGACATCATATCGGGAGTAGTTTACACTGTTTTTAAGAAACGTTTGACAGTAATTAATACTCTAAGGTCACCCTGTATTTTGAAAAAATGAAAACGACAGCGTGTACAAAAGTCTTAACAATTATTTTAAAATATCAGTAATTGTAGTAATTTTTGTTTTATATTCAAACAGATATTGGAACATATCTATTGCTTAAAACCATTAAAACAAAATTTACCATAAGATGTACTTGATAAAAATGGCAAAGGTCTGCCAAGAGCAAAGGTATGCAAGAGCACAAAAACAGATTTATATGCAATTTTCTTAAATATTAGTGGTATTATTGTTCAAATTGTTGTAGACAGTTTAATTTGGAGGTGTCTGAAAGCAGTTTTTTGCAAAGAAATCGAAAGGTTTATCAGAGAAAGGACCCAGAATCAGGAATCCACTTCATTGAATTTCTTCATGACAGCGTTTAAAATGCCCTAAAGAGTGCGGGATAAACAGAAAGTTAATGTTTTTTATAACAATATTTGCAGATCTTTGACCTTTTGACTTGTTTCTATTTCCAAACTTGAATAAAACACCTTTCAGAAGGAAAAAACAAGTCCAGGAAATCATTGGATCTGCCATTTTCCAGTATACTAAGGGTCATACCCAAAAATTAGTTCTAAAAACAATGAGAAATTGGATAAAACATGTTACGGACATGTGTTTGAATTAAAATAGATTAATAAGTAAAATCATGAAGACTAAATCATTGAAAAGCGTCGTTTGCTTCTTTCTGAGCCCCAATGACGTTATTTATTGAACGCCCCTCGTATATATTTGCATCATTTGTCGTTAAAGTTGATCAAAGTTTTTTTCATGGAAGGCTTGTATTCATAATTGAGTTGAATTAATTGCATCATTGTAACATTTTTGGTTGAACGCTGCATCATTATTTTATAATTGCAAAGTTGCTAGCATTGGTTGATTTTTTTCGATATTTCAATTGACTAGTGCTTTTCCAAAAGAATTTTAAAAAAGACTTTATACCGCATGCATATCTCTATATATAATTTCATCATTATCTTTTTACAATGTAAAACATACAGCCATACATTAAATAATACTCCTTATCAATGGCCACACAATTAATATTTCATTAGTTAAACTTTTTCTATATTAATAATATCCCATGACCTTTATTTCAATCTCTCTTTTTTTTTCAGGATAATTGACACAGATTCACATCGTGATTTATATGTGGACCCTACATGTTCCTCGGGGGAGGTAGTTTGGCGGATGACAAGAACGCTGGTAACACTGCGCTTTCGGAAAGCTTCTCCATTTTCCGTGTGTTTTAGCAGCAAATCGCCTGTGGGTTATGAAAAATTTGCTTTACATAATTTTTCACTCAACAATATGTACGTGGGAAGTCCAAATGCTGGTATATAATATATTGCAATTTCAAACTTTTTTCAAAAAATATGCTTTATATAGAGCAAATTTTCAATCGAATCAATAATGTGAAGAACAGCTAGTATTGCAATAATTTTAATTGGGAGAAAAATATATTAACAATATATTTCGTATCAATATACTTCAATTTTGAGCAGTTGTGATTTTTTTTCTTGTTTTCTATTTTCTAGAAACTGACGTCTGTCTGAATTCCGTCGGAAACTCCCTTAATGTTAACCTGTTATCTCTCGGAAAATACTACATAATGAAGGCTTACTTCAAAGTGAGATGTCTGTCTTGACGTCAGATATAAAAATAGCTGTCCAAAATCCCTAGCTCCAATTGGCCAGATTTCTTAGTGTTGGTCGTTCAGCGCCGTTGACCATGTTATATTTAGAGCTTTATGTAAATTGCACCTGTAGAAAACCCTTGGTGTGGGTGTAGTTTTCATAATGGAATGTCCGAAACCGTCCTTCAAATTAGCTCACGTGAAAAATATTAACATCGACCATTCCTTCTACCTGGACATTTCTAATTTGCGACACAGAAACTTCCTCCGGAAGCAATAAAAGATATCCCTTCATCAAAAAAAAAAAAAAAGAATTGTCATAATAATAAATATAATCAGAACCACATGTGCCTTCATTTGACAGTGTACATCTAATTCCATAACAGATATAATAAGCATAATGCTAGTTAAAGCTAAAAGTAATCCAATACTTGTATTTTTTCTTTCTTTTTATTTCACTTTTGTTTAATGTACATTCACATTGTTCTACTGAAATTGTTCGCTTCTGTACTGTATCTGATTGTATTATATTATATATATACTGATGATAAGAACCTTTTAAAGTTTCTGTTTTTATTTTAAAACTGTTATGCATAATAATTATGTGACTTGAGATATTAGTTTTCCTTTTAAATGCACAGATATGAAGTTATTATCTTCTCTATTATATTACGACTTGTATATTTTAACAGCATTTCACACAAAAATTAAATAAAATTCTTATTTCATATAAAAGATGTTAAACTTTCAAATTTTGTGGCGGGTTTGATTGACACATCCTTGCACTTTCACAAATTAATTTTATTCTTAATCCTTAGGAAAAATGGCAATCTCGCTGTGTATAAATGAAAAATATTAATATTATAATCCAGAGAAAAATAGGTCAGAGAACCATGTTCGATACGCTGTTCCATTTAACAAACAGGGAATATATTGTTTGCTTACCTGTGTATGGAATGCAGACGATTTGAGAATTCGTTGCATTAAAAATAGCCTTTTTAAATTACAAATTTGTTCGTAATACATGTATGTATTGATTGATTTTAATGAATATTCAATAATAAAATAATGTTCCTGTTTTTCTGCTTTATTGTGATTAATAGCACGTTGTTTAAATGTGTAAGGAGGTCCGTGGAATAGCCCCGCTTACCTATAAAAACCGACATTCATCAGCAACTTTATGCAATTTACAGTGTTTATAATGGAAAAGACTACACATCAATGTGGTCTAAACAAGTATTTTTTTTTCTACAGTTAAACATGCATTTCAATTGTACAGGTTTTATACGTGTTTCTAATCTGATAATTTTATGATGACGTTCGTGATTTATTGGAGAATAATGTCCGCGGCATTTCTTTGATCTCGGCAACAATCGTGGTAGAATTTGAAATTTATTCTTAGCAATATTCGCGCACCGTTGTCCGCGCCAAATTCGCAAAAATAATAATTCCGATATAATAAGTAAAATATATTTTAATTTCTATAGGCAAAAAAGAAATGATGAACATCTTCATACTTTCCACATGAACATATACACTGAAAGAAATACCTAGTTAATATAACTATAGTTCGCAATATCTGATATTTTTCAGGCTTTCTTACGATTCTGATATTTTACGTGCCAGGAAAACATGCTATAATTGTTTGTAGTTTTATTCGTATATATATACATTTCCCTTGCGAACCGAATTAAACGTCAAACTCACAAAATATCAATACATGTAGTACATTACTTTTAGTACTTGCCAACATTGTTTTTAACTTTTTATGGTTCATTTATAAAATAATTATACAATCCGATGAAAAATTTTATCAGACTGTCGAAATTTTCTTTTCATTTCCTGCATTTTAAAATATTGTAAGTCCTGTATCGGAATGTGGAGGGATGTTTTCTTTTCTTTGAAATTGATGAGTTCTAGAAGTATTGTGCTATTAATAAATTCTAATTATATATATTATTACAATTACTGAATGTTTTATACACAATTTCCACTTTAACAATGGCGCCGGTTCTGACGTTTGAAACCCTGGCACGTAAAATATCAAAAATCGTTTAAAAAAAAAAAGCCTGGAAAACGTTAAGATATTTCGGACTAATTTAACTAGTGTGCCTAGTAAAGCATTCGTCGTGATTAGTTTACACATTCTGTTTACTAATAGTGTTTTTAACAAATGTGTCACGACCAAGCGGGATTCAACTAATTTACATGAAAGTATAATATTATTAAATAAATTTTGAAATAGTAAAACTACTTTGAAGGTAGTGATTGTGTGGACAGTAAATTTACTAGTCTTCCCAGTGACTTTTACTATTTTTTTTTATTTGTGTAAAGGACTATTAATAATAGTTCTTCTAAGTAGACCATAGTTACTTAAGTATACAGTTGTGTCTAAGTTGTTGCACTCCTGACCAAAAGCATGGGAGTCTTTTAAGTAGCATTGTTCTCTGTTGTTGTTCTGTGTTGTTTCAGTGAAGTTGAGGTAGAATATACTAGTTGTGTGTAATTGTTTGAGAGCATGCGGGAATTCTCTTCGGGGAAGTATATATTGTTTTGAAATTGTCTGTCTGTTTGTCTGTTTGTTCTGTTGTTTAACCTTTAAACTTTTGAATTTGAGATAGAGACTTCATATTTGGAATGCATACTCCACTAATTAAACACTTTTTATCACCAAGGACAATGGCCTTGTGATCTTGACTGTGAATATGTTAAAAATAATTTTTTGAACTTTCGTTATAACTTTTATATATAGACTTTATATTTGGTATGCATTTTTTGAGTGCTTTCAAACGACACCAAAGGCCAATGACCTTGTGACCTTGAATGTAACCTATATGCTAAAAATAGTTTTCCGAACTTTGTTGCCGCCGGGTGCATATTGTTTCACAAACACATCTTGTTAGTATCTTTATTTTTAACATTAATTTAAAAAAATCACAGAAAAGATGAAACAAATCTGAATTTATAAAATTGAAATAAGGAAGGGTTTACTAATGAAATTGTCAATAATTTAGTACTATATTATGCAAATAGATGGTGTCATTAATGTGGACGAATGCTGCTCAAAGGCCGTAGGTGCAGCATAGGCCTAAATTTGCAGCCCTTCACCAAAATGTGTTGCACGTCTGACCATATCAGAAATATAGGGACGTCAGAAAGTATTCAATCAATCAATCAATGAATTGTTGAAAAAATTTACTTTGTGTCAATTATTTTTTTTTTCTATATATTGCAAATAAATCACATGAATACTTTCATATACGAATAGAAGTTTTTTCCATTATATTTAGATGAGGAGGAATGCAACTTTTTACATATTTGACCAGAACTTGATCAAACAAAAGTTACCTTGATGTCCACATTGGCAACCATTAATAGACCTTCATCTTTTAATATACATGTATTTACAATATCTGCACACCACCATGTTAATATTGGTTTAATCTTTTTATTATGTTCATTAATGAAAAGTTAATATGACTTTTTACAAATGAAAATGAGCAAATCTTAAGATTATTAAGTCAATTCACATCAAAAATATTGCATATGATTTTTGAATATCACTACAGTATATATTGTATTTACAATATTTGTAGACCACCATGGGTAAATTGGTTTAATGTTTCATTATGTACATCTAATTTATGTGATAATATTTTTCTGTGTTATGTGACCAATTGAAATAAATTGTATTGTATTATATAACTTGAATCTTTAAAATAAATGTTTTCACTCTTGGCCATAAAAAATATAGATCTGAAAGATAGACAAACCCTGTAATTGTTAGACCTATTTGGTGAAATGATCTTTGTGTCAATTTTTCAAAATAAAAATCAGAAAATTCAATTCTGAAGGAAGATTTTTTTCATGTTTGGGAGCAAAACATCAGCCATGACCACAACTTGGTCAAACAAAAGGTAGTACAATCCACATTGAAAGCTCAATATTTTAAATATTATCAGGAAAGCCTTTCTTTTCAACATAAGCCATCATTATTTATATTACAGATTTTCAAAAAATATTGAATTTTCAAAATGTCACAAAAAGGTGTTGCACTCCTAATATTTTTAGCATCATTTTTGGGCATAACTTTTTTGTGAATTGAGATGTCAATGAAATATTTGGCAGGTATTTAGAAACTACCTAAAGACATATATACGCTGAGAAATAGAAATATATTTCTATTGCCTTTATTTTCAATGGGGGTTAAGTATTAATTTTCGGATAAATATATTTAGTAAAAGCTTACTTTTTTTTTTTTCTTACAAATATTTTACATGTACATGTATTCGCTAAGTTATAGAAAACACTTCTCCAAGGGTTTTTGAAAACTCTAAAAGAGAGGATGTGAGAAACCCTTGGCTAGCGAAGATGATCCGGTAGCTGTTAGAGGTTACCCGCTGCGATCTTGAACAAATATAATCATTACAGCTCATAAAGTAAACAAAATGCTTTAAAGTGTTTCTCATTAATTATACCACTGATTTATGAGTAGCATATATGATATCTAATAAGAAAAAAAATGTTTTTATTAAATGTCAAAAGTTAACATGCATATCTCAGTCTGCTGTTGAAAGGGAAGCAAATCCTTGTAAATTAAGATAAAATTTCATTGACAGACGGGCAAAGCTGAGAATATACATGTACAAGGAGGTCAAGACTGAGGTAAATAGACGACTTTCACTGTCCCCTTAACAAACTTTATGGTTGTTCCCCTTTATGGAACAGGTTCAACCTGCGCAAGAAATTGTTTTCCTTTTATAACAAGTAATTCCGACTGTTTATGGGGCAATATCTCAGATGTAAAATCTGTAGGTTCTATTCATAAATACATTTACATGTATGTTCATATGTGCCTCCGCTTGGGGTTGAACCCAGTTCATTGATCTGTTGGTTAAGCTTTAAAGGGTTTATCCACTTGCCCAAGCCAGTAGGAAGCCGTCAGTTATGTATACAAATTGTAATTTGTACAATAATATTTACATAGGAAATGAACGGTTGTACATACATGTATGATGAAAAAAAGTCACAATGATGTTGTATGACAGGGATCTTACAACTGTCCTTTACAGATTTACAAATACAACAAATACAATAACGACATTTTATTTCTTTATTTTAATAATTTGAACTGTTGAACCTTCTGAATCATGACTGCAAGTCTTTGTGAAGAGCTTGTTTAGTGATTTGAAAAAAAAAGTCGTTGCATTAATCATTGGTACAAGTGAATTTTGGTGTTTACTAAGTCGTCATTCTCTGTTCAAACCAACTGGAATATTAA